TTTTGCTTCAACTAAGTATTTTTTTTATTTTCTTGTTCGTTAAGATTTTTTTTTCTTTTAAAATTTTTAAAAATAAGTTTAGGTAAGTTTTTGTAGCGCAATTTTGAAAATATGTCAAAAGCAGTGGTCGAATCGTCAAAACATATTATTTTTTGTGTGGTCATATAAGATGTGTTTTTGCACGCCTTCCTGTTAAAGCCTGATATATATATATATATATATATATATATATATATATATATATATATATATATATATATATATATGCACATAGTTATAAAAGTAGATAAGCAGTGTGGCTTGGTTGGGAGTGAATTTGTTTTTGTCTATACTTATGTGTGAATTTTAATAATTTAAAAAGTAGTTTTGTATAAACAATTTTTTATCTAAATTTTAAGAAGACTTTAAATAGACCTTTTATAATTTTTAATGCTTTACAAGTAAAAATACTTTATAAGCGAGAGGTTCCGAGTTCGATTCCCACCACGTCCCTGGTAGTACCGCACTTAACTTGTTTCTCCGCGCAGCGGCCTTGTTCGTCAAGGTTCGTGTTTCGGAGTTATAGAGTTGAGAGAGGATTATAACCACAAGTAGCCTCCTCATCTGTAGTGTCCTTCTTGGCCTTGGAGAGGTGAATTACAAAAAAAAAAATTAAAGAATTTTTTGAGTGTACAACTTTTAATTAAATCAGTTAAAAAGTATTAATGCTTAACAGGTGAAGTTTTATTCGGATTTTTAGATCTAGTCAAGTGGGCTAATCCAGTGGTGAAATTTATACAATTAAAAAGAATGAAATTTGTTATAAAACAAAGTTAATAAAGTAATTTGTTTCATTCTATACTATATTATAAAAAATGGATTTTTCTTCTCATTTTTAAGTACTAACAGAATCTATTATAAGTTTGTAATTTTGATAAATTTTTTTATACTTTGCAATCTTCCTTTTACTACTCTTTTCCTCAAAACCTAGTTTGCAAAAAAAAATATTTTCAATTTTGTATTGCTTTTTAATTTTTTTTTAGTTTAGGTTTATTGATTTATGCAGTACATAAAAGTCTTATGTTATTTAAGACAAAAATTATAAGTTGTTTACAGTGCAATACTGAGAAGTTTTACTATTGGTGTCACAATTTTTTTTAACGACTCCGACTAAAAATGTTGCGACTATAACTCCACAGCCCTAGTTGTTTATATGGTGTTATATATGCAGGCTTGGCCAGGGTTTTTAGTCGTTTTACAAGCCTTCCCACGAAAGGCGTGCGGTTTTTCATCTCGTACAGCCACAAAAACGTTTTTCAAGTTAGAGAACGCGATCACGGCTGTTTGCGCAAGTTATATTATATGTGTTACTGAAAAATTGTTTTAAATTGAATAACTACATAAGAATCTAAAGTAAACTTAAATAGAAAACAATAACAATAGTTTAAATAATTTGTTTTTGTATTTTATTAGTGGTTATTATTATCGACAACAAAATTCATTATGTGAAAACAAAAAAAGAAAAACGGTTTTAGGCGTTAAAAAGGATAACTTTTCCATATTTTATGTGTTTTTTCTTTTAAAGACGAAAGAGAAAATATGTATCGTCATCTGTTTGTAAAATATATTTGTATAATTATAATGTAACAAGTTTTTATCAAGAGTTAAATTATACGATCACTATTTGCAAACTCTGGTGAAATATTAGGTCTTTAAAATTTTAGTTCATGCAAAGCTGTGTACTTTGTTTATAAGGAGCAAATTATTAAAAGTTTGCTAGTGAAAAAGTTTTAAAAAACAAAACAAAAACAATAAACTTACGACTACATAAGTAATAACACTTTAGTCACTAACTGCATTATAAAAGTAATAAAACTATAATAGTGTTTTTACATTTATAAAGCACTTATTGCTTTTAAAGTTAGTTCTTTGTTTAAACAACATTAATTCCAAACATTTATTAAAGTAGAAAAGCATCTAGAAAAAATAAAGCGGATATTCAAATATTATTAAAAATTTCAGGAACTTTCACATATAACTTAAACAACGTTATAAAAAAGTACTTTATAAAAAGTATAGCATTATGAAAAATGTTAGTATAGCATTATGAAAAACGTTTGATTTTAAAATTAACCAATAAAAATTTTTATTGGTTAATTTTAAAATTAACGCGCGTTTTTACGGTCCATTAGTAACGTTTTTCATAATGCTAAACTTTTAATACGATACGTTTTCATTAAGTTGTTTGTCACATTTTTATAAGTTACTTTAGTTTTAATATTATTTGAACATCCACTTTATTCTTCTAGATATTTTTCTACTTCAATTAAAATTTGGGAATACTAATGTTGCTTGAACAAAGAATGAATTTTAAAAGTTATAAGTGTGTTATAAAGTAATAGCACTATTATAGTGTTATTACTTTTGTAATGCAGTTAGTGACTAGAGTGTTATTACTTTTGTAATCGTAAGTTTATTGTTTTATTTTTTATTTTTTCGCTAACAAATTTAAGTCGATTCTCCCCTTAAAAACAAGGAACACAGTTTTGTATAAACTAAAATTTTGAATACTAGATATTTTTCCAGATTTTGTGTTTTGCATTCGCTTAGTTCAACTCTTGTTGTTACATTAAAATTATACAAATAAGTTTTACAAATACATTGCAATTTGTATTTTTGCTATCCTCTTAAAAAAAAAAATTAAGAAAAGGAAAATCATTTTTTTTTTTTGCTTTGCCTTATCTAATTTTGTTGCTGAATGTAACTGTAAAGAAACAAAAATAAAAACAGTACACAAGTTATTTAAATTATTATTTTTGTTTTTATTTTTTTCTATTTCAATCTCTTTTTATTTTGTTAGTTTTGTTTTTTTTGTTTTTGAAACTTTTTCAGCATTATTATAAAACTAAAATAATATAATCACGTGTAGTCATATGAGACGAAATACTGCACACCTCTCCTGGGAAGGCTTGTTTTAAGAACATTTAAGTTTATGTACGTAACAAAAAGTTTTTGTTTTACGGACATACATGGAAACATAATAAGCTTGAATGTTCTCAAAACATCTTGGTGCGGAAGAATAAAAAGAATATTTGCGAACACTAAAAACCTGCCAAATTTACGAACAAACAAATTCTATTGGTTCAAAAAATATGCTAATAAAATCTGACTAAGCCAAATAAAGTTCTAGAGTATTCTGTTGAAATGTTTTAAAAACTGTATTATTCACAATTTATTACGTTTTGAGATTTCTAGCATAAATTGTTTTAAGGATATATTATCAATACTATTCTCGGAGCCACATCTACAAAGCCGTAAATCTTTTAAACTATTATTTGTTTACAAAAATAAATGTTTTATAATATATATTTTTTAAATTGTCAAAGTTTTGAAAGTTTATTATAAGTTATAGATTTTATTAGTATATTCTAATTTTTTATTAAAAAAGTATGTATTTTTTATGTAAATGTAATTTTGTGTATCTGTTTTTTATTGTAATGTAATCTTTTAAAGCAATTTTTATGATTTAATTTGTAAACAAAGACTTACAAAAATAATTGCGTTTTCAATGAAGTTATTAATAATCATCAAAGTTAATAAAACTAGTTATGTAACAAACACATAAGAAGTTTCTGGTTACTAAATATAAACAATGCATACAAAGTAACTCGCTGATGAAAAGCACCACGCCTGAGGTCACGACAGAACACAAATATATATAGCAAGTTATTAGATTTAAAGAAAAGTTTCTAGATATTGGTTTACTACCTCTAATTATTTTCGCTACAGTTGCCATTCTTAAAAACTCTTTAAACTTTTTTCTGCTTTAAATACTAATTAAAATTAAAAAAGCCCACTCACTAAACATCATCAGCGATATTGTGAAGCAGTTTCGTTTCCTCATCATAAAGTATTTTTAACCTTTTTAGTTGATTTCTAACTAGTTAATTTAATAGTAATTCAATGATTTAGTTATTTCATTTATTCATCTCACTAAGAAGAATTGTTTCAAATATGTCAAACTTTTCAAACTACGTGAAGCATAAAATAGGTATTAAAAAAATTAACTTTTTTTATTTATAAAATAATTTAGCTTAAATAAAACTCATACTTGCGTTAGTTTTATTTGAATCTTGTTAGACTTTTCAGGGCCGGGGGCTTTTTTTATTTTGGATGCCTTTGTATGTGCCACAGCGTAAAAATGACTAAACAAAAAGGTCTTCTTGACTTTTTTGGGGTCCTAACATTGCGGGGCTCGGGGCTATAGCCCCTTCTAACCCCAACCCTCCTTAATCTAGAACTGGAAATAAGACACCAGTATATAAATAAAAATTATATTACACTCTTTGTTAAAGAAAGAACATTTGTTTCCATTTTAAACAATCGTAAGATGTTACTTAATATAAAAAATATCGCTTAATTTTTATAAAAAATTTATAAAAGAGCGATGTTTCGAGAATATTTGTTCTAAACGTAATTTATTTTGCTTGAAATTTTTTTGTTTAAAAGATATTTTGTTTTTCTAATTTTTTCTTTTTGTTTTTTGTAATTGTCTTTTATTGGTCCAATTAATCTTTTGTGCTTTTTTTTTTTTTTTTTTTGCTTTTTGAAATTTTCACAAAATGACTAAAATATCTGGCCAGTTTTTCGCTACTAAATATTATTTCCGTGGTCAGTACTTGAGAGCAATCGCATCCGTTTCCCGACCTCATTCAAAATTCTTTTTGAATGAGGTTGGAAAGTAGGCGTTACAAAAAATTTTATTTACACTACAATAACTTTATTATGAAAAACAAACAAATTCTGATGACATTGTCCTATTTAAAACTAGTTGAATTGGAAGTAATTAAATATACCCAAACTTTTAAAATTATTATTTAAAATATTATTTAAAATTTAAAATTTTAAATATTTACAAATTTTTTATTTTAAATTAATTTAAAATAAAGAATTTTAAACTATTATTTTTATTTATGCTTAAGTTTTATATTTCATACTTATATATTTGTATCCTAATTTAGGTTCTTGCACCTCTAAAAAATATAACTATAGATTTGGTATTCTTAGCTACAATTCTAGGAAATGTGGAAAATACTGTCTATATATATACTTCAAAAGGAAATTTTCCTTATCAGGTAACATTTTTACAAGTTTAATATTTAAAATTTTTTGTTTTTTTAAAAGTATCCATAATGCAAAATATATAATGAAAAAAATAAATAAAATGATTTTGCTGATAATAAAAAAAGTTTTAAATAATTTAGAGTTCTATAATCATTGTTAATTGTTTTATTAACAACAATTTATTAAATAAAATAGGTCTCCATTTTAACAGCATTCATTAAGCAAATCAAACATCGAAATTTATTTAATACTAAATAATAGGCTGGTAATGCTTTATCATAAGACAGAAAAGTCTGATGAAAAACTAGTTTAGTTGGAAATTAATTATTATTGTTTACAAACTAAAATTGCAGTACGATGTTTGACACATGTTTCGACCCCTGTCAAACATCAGTTATTAAAATGCCTTTTACAAGTGTTATATTTAAAAAATCATTGGTTGTTACGTTGTCAATTAAAAGGATAAATGATTTGTAATTCCAGAATATTTATTCAAAAATAAATCAAATTGAAATAAAACAAAACTTATTTTTCTTAAAATAAATATTTTGTTAAATTCAATATTGCTCAAAAGTTTAGCACATAACAAAATTAAAACAAATTTTTTTCTTTAGAACTTGAAAAATTAAAAAAAAAATTTTTTAGTTATTATAAATACATAATTTAATTTTAAGAATATTTAGAATATGATAAATGAAAAAGCAGCTATTAAATTTTTGGAATAAATTAATCATATATATAATAAGAAAAAAAAGCTGCTTATAAAATTAGCACTCTTGGTTTTGAAGTTGTTTTAAAGCCTAACCTTGATAAGAAATTTGACAACCTCTATTTTTTATGCATAATGCACATCTTCTTATATTAAACTGTTAAACCGGTAAAAGACTCTTTTAAATTTTTTCTTATATCTTCAGGTGAAGTTACTTGCTCTTTGGTAAGTTTTCGGTTCCACATTGTCCAAATATTTTCATTTGGATTCAGATAAGATGATCCAGGTGCCCACTGAAGTATCCTGATATTGATTCGGTCGAACCATTTTTTTTTACAGATTTTGCTTTATGGCATGGAGCGTTTTCTTGTTGAAACATTTGCTTTAGCTTGTTACCAAAAAAAAGGTCCTTGGTAGGCATTAAATAGTTTTTGACGTATCGATGTATCTATGTTGGTCTATATGACCCTTGTATAACATGTGTAGACCTAGGCAATCATATATGATGCAACCCAAATACCAACTGCGCCAGCTCCATCTTTATAGCACTAGTGCAATACAGTGACTATTATACTTTACATTGTGATGCCTACAGACAGGTACTTTGTTCTTAGGATTTAGATTTTAAACGGTCTATTGGTTTTAATAATGGTTTTTTAGCAGCAACATAGCACTGCAGTTTATAGTCTATTAACTTATCATTCTTGGTCATCCAGCTTTTTTTAGCAGTACTACTAGTTTCATTAAATTTACCAATAGTTTTACTTACACTTTAAGATGAAACACACTTTACATTTTGAGATACTTCAATATTATAGTGACCTCCTATATAAAGGCCAATAATATGCTGTTTGATTTCTTTACATATTGTTTTTTTTCCCATGGCAATTTTTCAGTACTACTACTACTACTACTACTACTACTACTACTACTACTACTACTACTACTACTACTACTACTACTACTACTACTACGTATGTTCTTAAAAAAAAAGGGCTTAAGTAAATAAAATTATTTGTAAATGAGTAAATGGAATTTTTAAGTATTATTTGTCTGTGTTTGAAAAAAGGCAATTTTAAAAATACAATTTTTTATGTATATTTTTATTTATATGTAAATAGTATTGTAAAAATTGATATGTCAACAGTATTGTAGTATCAAACCTTTTACTCTTTTTTAAAGAAAAGAAACTTTTTAGTTAGTTAATGCTGTTGTTAGATCTTTTTAACTATATTTATTTTATGGCTTATCTGACCGCACATATGTTTATATAGAGAAGATTATTATATAACATATAGAGAAGAACAACAACAACAATAACAAGCTATTTTCCGTAAATCATTTTTACAATAGTTTTGATAATAATAATAATAATAATAGTAATAATAATAATTAATATATATTATAATAATATAAGATAAAAAAAAAAAAACTTTTATACAAATTATAGTAATAGTATTAATAAGTATGTTTACAATAATTACAATGAAAAAATACTAATAACTAATATTATAATGGTAGTTACAAGCATAAAATTATTTATAATAATAAGTTAATGATTTATTAGGATGGGGTCACTTATACAGAAATCTGATCAAAGGAGTGACACCAATTTTTAATATAATATAAGTAATAATAAGCAAAGACACACTGAAACACATGAACTGTAAACACACAGACCAAAGCACATAAAATATACATCAAAACAAACATGTAGAAATCAATTTGCAGGTTTTAATAATAATAATATAATAATAATAATAATAATAATAATAATAATAATAATAATAATAATAATAATAAAAAAGTACTGATGATAATTGTAGTAATTACAAAAAGAAAATTAAAAAAATATTTCAATCGTAAGGATAATGTCTAAAAATTTGAATAAAAAGTTTTTCAGAATTTTTTAAAATTGATATTGTTTAAGATGGAGTAAAGATATTTTAGGATATATTTTTTTGGACTGCATGCAAGGCTCCTGTTCCATTCACAGACATGTGTATATTTCTAGTTGAGTAGGAATGTAGTAGTCTACTTTCTGTGAACAAGTTTGTGATAAGAGATAGTATGTTTTTATTTAAGGAGTCAAAAACAAAAAGAAGATTAGCATACTTTACTAGCGCTGGTAATGTTGGAATGAAAAGTTTTTTGAAGGACTTAAATGTGTCTGATTGATTTGGTTGTATGTTTATAATTCTGAAGGATTGAGGCTGAGTTGATAGCAACTTGTTAATGCGATTGTTTCCAAATTGACCCCAAACTTGACAACAATAGCTAAGATGAGAATATTGCATAGTAAATATTCTTAAGTGTAACTTTATTGACATAATGACGAATTATTGAAAGCATTCCTTTAGCTCGAGATTCTTACTAATTTCATCAATATGAAAGTTCCAAGAAAGATTGCAATCAATTAATACACCAAGATATTTAATAACTCTTGAAGGATATAGCCGTTTATTATTAATTTTGATTTTGATTTCAACATTTTTAAAGAAATTGTTTTTTCTTGGAGATAAAAAAAAAAAATTAGTTTAGTGTTGAGACATATTAGGTTAGCATTTAACCAGTGAACTATACTCTTTAGATCCGAAATAATATTCTTACATAAAGAATGATATGATTTATGTGCAAGAGATTTGTATCATCTGCAAGCAGATAAACTGAAGAGAAGTGAAAGAGTTGATTAGGTCTTTAATGTAGATTAAAAACAAAAGATGACCTAGAGCAGAACCTTGAGAAACACCACACAAAACTTATTTATTACTAAAATTGATACCATTAATACTTATAAATTGTTTTTGATCTGAAAGATAAGATCGAAACCAGTCATTTACAATACCACGAATTCCATGTTCAATTTAGAAATCAAAATATTATGGTCAACAGTATTGAAAGCTTTTTGTAAATTGATAAAAACACCACAAACGAAATGACCAGTATTAAGAGCTTTCCTGATTTTTTTCGTTATACTTATTAATGCATGGCAAGTAGAATGTTTTGATCGAAAACCAAATTGAAAATCATGTAAACAATTAAATGAGTTTAGAAAAGATTACACTCTAGAATACATAAGTTTCTCAAGAGGCTTACTAATGTTAGATAAAAGAGAAATAAGTCTGTAGTTAGTGCATGAAAGTTTAGAGCCATTTTTAAATATTGGAATAACACAAGATAATTTCAAAATATCAGGAATTATTCCATTTATAAATGAGGTATTAAATAGTTTAGAAAGAATATTTGAAAGTTCATAGTTAAAATCTATAAGAATATTTGTGGGAATGCTGCTTGGACCTAATGATGTTTTTGGATTAAATTTAGATATAAGAAATGAAATTTCAGGAGTATTTGTTGAAGATAATAATAAACTATGTAAATATATGGATGTTTAAGATATTTTTGATAGTTAATGTAAGATGAATGAATATTGGATTTGAGTTTATGAGCAACATTTGTAAAAAAAGTGTTTAATGATTCAGAGATTAGAGTCGGGTCAGTTATATATATATATCATTTTCTTGCAAACCGTCAAGAGATGAAATATTCGAATTTTTTACATTATCTAGAGTGTTAATATCTTTCCAAAGTTTGCGAAGATTTTTTACATTTGCTGAGAAGAATTTTTAAAAATGGTTTTTTTTACTAAGTTTAATGCATCTATCATATTTTTATATATTTTAAAAATACTTTCAAATTTTTTTTATTAATAAGATCTTTAGATCTTAACATTTTTTGTTGGAAAGTATTGTGCACTTGAATGGATTTTATAATTCCTTTTGTAATCCATGGTTTGAATAAACGTTTGAAGTATCCATGTAAGGGTGTCTATAAATGCAACCAACAATAATATTAGACTTTTTACAAAAAATAACTTCAACAAATGTGGATTCTAAACAATTAGGTGTATAAATCATTAAATCATTTCTTCGATTGTATATTAGTTTTTTTGATAAATATAATAAAATACCGCCACAAGAGGATTCCGTTGGTGTGTGCTCAATATTGTAATTATCAATGAAAATCAGATGAATTGAGGATTTTCCTTTTTTTAACCTTGTTTCAGTTATACTAATAATGGAAAAATCAAAATTAATTAATAATAGTATTATGTTCAAATCCTCAAGTCATCTTAAACACTACAATACTGGCATTATGAAATAGAATTCTATACTGTTAGTGTAGTTTTATAGATGGTATAATGTTCTTTACTTCATAGATCTCATACCAAAATCTTAATTCATTTGTTTTTTCAATTTAAGAATTTTGATTTCTTTTTTTCTGTTTATGGTTAATTCTCTCTGTAGTTTTAGTTTAGTTTTTTCAGCACATTTTAAATACAAGTAAGTTAATCAAAACTTATAAAGAGCTATGCCCAAGTTATCAAAGCAACATAAGCTTGGTCAAATAAGCTGTGTGACAGTACACTATTCCTCAAGGCTTATATTGTAAATTTGTCCATATTCTAGTATTCTATTTTCCAGTATAGTTCAAATAAAAAGATTCTCATAAAAATAAACATGATGAATTCAATTTAAAATTTTAACACAGTTAAAAATGAATTCGTTTTAACACAGTTTAACTTTTACTCTCTTTTTTTGTCAATCTACTTATGCTACTTAATAATAATCAATCTGATTTATTTAGATTATATGACAACTCTAAGAGCTTCATCTAAAACTACCTATTAGTTTTGTTTAAATTCTTTGCAACCAAAATTTTGTAAAAAAGTTATTTTTATGCTTTTCTAATTTTATGGTTTTTAAAAATTCTAATTCATGCTGATCAAAATTGCAAATAAGCCAGAAATGTTTCATAAAACTAATTGGCGCCACTATTTAGCAATTCAATTATCATTGTCGTTTCGTTATTTTGTTGAAAGTAGAACAGAATCACTTGATTGATCTTAAAAAATATAAGTGGTCATTGACAAATGTTTTCTAGAAAAAGAATTCAAGATAAGATTTGCTGAAAAACACAAGTCAATTATGGAAGAAACAAATGTTAATTTGGAGGTAGGTGAACTCTTGATAACTGGGAGGTTGGCCTTACGTTAACTAGATGAGATAATTTGAAACTTCAAAAAATTACATATGATGGTTGAATTTTGATTTTTTTTTTTTTTTTTTTTTTTTTTTTTTTTTGTGTGTTATTTACTTGAATTCAGATTTTTTTTTTCTTTCAAAATTAGGTATTTGGTGTTGGAATAAAAAATCCATATAGATTACGATCATATGTATCAGCACGTATACCAGTCAATGCAGTATTTTCTCCTTATATAAATATGTATAATCCATATAGTAATTCTATTCAAGTAAAAAATTTTTTGTTTGTTTGTTTGTTGCAAATAAATAATTCTGATTTTTTTTTAAAAAAAAGGATTTAATTTTAGATAAATGAAATGTATTCAAGTGGGAATGATCTCCATTTGGATCCACTCTCAAACAGTAACTACAGTAGTGTAAGCAAGTTATGGGAAATACAACCTTATGAAACAAAGTCTATTATGAAAGCCACTTATCATTCGAAAGAAGAAGGGCATTCTGCTCGCTTCATTCGTATTGTTGTAGGTCCACCAGCTCCTCCTCATATAATTATATTGCCTTTTGAAATTAGTGTTTCAAGCAGTAAGGCTCTTTTTGTCTTGAGGTTGTACTTTAAAATACTTAAGTTTTGATTTCATTTTATCTAAAACTTTATTTTCAATTTTTTTACTTGAATTGTTAGTATTAGCATTTTCTTGTTTTTTTTTTAAACTTGGTGTAGATATATTTTTTTAACCATAGATCTACTCATATAAGTGTTGCATTAGTAAATCTACTGCTTATTCTAATATTTTACAATTTTTTTAGAACATGGTTTATATACAAGTATTGATATATTGGACTTTGGAACTCTGAGAACAATGGGTATTTATATATTATATTAAATATACATACATACATACATAAATATCTGGAAAAAGATAATCCCTGTTATTAGGACTCTTGCCCTGTTAATTTTAAAGAAAATTTAAGTTTCCATGTAAAATCTTTTTTTCTATAAAAGTTGTCTCTTTAATGCATACACTTAATTTATTACTAAGCATATTAAAACCTTAAACTATACCATGACATATGCACAACAAATTTCTATCGGTGTTTTCATGTTTTTAGAAGTTTTAAAAAGTTATTTAAAAAATTCTCTCTCTTTCGTTTGTTATAGTATATATCTTAATATATATGATATGCATCTATCTATAGAGACCTTTAAAGTTGTTTTACTTTGTATTCTAGAAAATTATAAAAGATTAAAAAAAAATAATAATAAGTTTGAAAACGAAAGGATTTAAAACCACGCGAAGCACTTCAACCACTTTAGAATGCTATTACATTATCTTTTAACACTGCTTAATGAGCAGCCATGGCGCAGTGGTAGCGCACTTGCCTCAGAATGGTTCACATCCCCTGGGCAAGTTTTGTGGCATCGGTTAGGAAGGAGGTGTGAACTTCAAATTAAATGCTTAACTGTCATAAGATAAATAAAACTAAAAAAAACAAAAAACAAAATACTTATTAAACTTTATAAAACAGAATATAAATGCTTTATAAAAATTAATTTAAATCAAAATTAAGCAAGTATTGCTGCAATAAAATTATTTTCTGTAAAATTTGATATAATTTTTAATAATTTATATAATTTGAAATTTACGTTAGATATTTGAAAAAAGTCTAGCTTTGTAAAATTAAAGATATTTTTATTTACACATTTATTACCGAATTAACAAAACAACAATTTTTAATAGTTTTTAACTGTATGTCTATATTGAACTAACACGTCATCTGATTAATATTAAAAAGTAATTGAACTAAAGGAAAAAATACACTGCATGTATCAACTGGAAATCAATTTATTTAAACATAATAACAAATCATTAAAAAAAAAAAATTCAACTAAATTTGCATTATCATTACCAATTAGTAGATTAACCAACTACAAAAATAGGAAGGGCAGAGCTTTTGTCCTTAATTCAAGCCCACATCTTATGTGCCTTATGAGATGTGGACCCTCTATTTGATCTGCAATAAGCTAAAAAAGCATTGTAAGATGTCTAAAATGAAAAAAACAAACAAATTTACCTGTAGCTGATGCTTTTTCTAGAGCATTGTTGAAAAAAGTCAAAATCTGTAAGAAAAGAAGTTTATCGCTATATATATATATATATATATATATATATATATATATATATATATATATATATATATATATATATATATATATATATATATATATACATATTTATATATATATATGTATACATATTTATATATATATATATACATATTTATATATATATATATATACATATTTATATATATATAAGGACCCTATGAATCACCTTTTTTAGTTTTGAATCGAATCACGATTCGAAGTAGGTCTTGATTCGCAAATCGAATTGAATCACATGTCCAATCACATGGTGGCCACAGTCCTGGATTTTTGCAAGTGTCCTGGAATGTCCTGAAATGTCCTGAAAAATTACATTTTTTTCAAAAATGTCCTGAAATGTTCTAAAACTTTTTTTTTTTCTGAGTCAAGTTAAAAAATTACTAATAATATTAAAGTAATATTAAATTTTTTTGCGAAAATTTTTTTTATGTAAATGGTTTAAAATTAATTTTAAATAAGAGAGTAATAATAATATTCTATTCTATAATTCAATCAATATGAAAAAGATATAATGTAAAAATAATTGATAATATTCATTTAATAAGATATAAAGTGTCCTGGAAAACGCAAAAAAATGTCCTGTAATGTCCTGGAAATGTTCTGGAATTAAACTTTTAAAATTTTGTGGCCACTATGAATCAGCATTTTGAAGAAATCCAAGTTAACCATAGACATCCTCAAAATGCTGATTTGATATAAGATTCAATTCGATTTGCAAATCAAGACCTGCTTCGATTCGTGATTTGATTTGCAACTGAAAAAGGTGAAAGGGCCCTAATATATATATATATATATATATATATATATATATATATATATATATATATATATATATATATATATATATATATATATATATATATATATATATATATATATATATATATATATATATATATATATATATAAAAATAAAAAAACATTAAAATATTATTTTGGAGAAAACATTCTTTAATCCTAAAAATTTAATGAAAGACATCAAAACTTATGTTATAACACTTAGTATACTTACCTTTATAAAAAAATAGTATATCTAGATTAAACATATTTAATGAAGGAAATAGAAACATAATTTTTAAATAGGTAGGAGCTACTAATAAATAGGAAGCCAGTTTTTAATAAAATTTATTCATCAAAAGCATAAATTGTTAAAAAAGAACAGTACATACCTTTCAAACAATTTTTTTTTAAACTAACAAAATGCAAATTGTTAACAAAAAAGGATTAGAGTATATATCTTTTAAAAAAAATTTACTTAAAAAGCAACAGTATATAAATATTTAATGAAGTATATATCTTATCAATAAAATTTATTTAAAATCATGAATATTTAAAAAATTATAGATATTAAAAAACTATATATCTTTTTAACACTTCTTTTAAACACATTCTTTCAACAATATTTTTTCAACACATTTTATGTTTACACTAACTACAAACAGATTTAGTTTATGTGTTTCATCATGACATTACCCAACTGGCATGGACAACATTCTTGCTCTCAACAAAGCCAAGTCACATTATAGCAAAGTACACCACTTGGCTAGCAAGGTCAATAATCTTGCTGTAAACTAAGTCACACCAATTTGAAACCATGCAAACAAAGTAATAATAACTTACAAACTATCAACACATAACATTGTAACACATCGCAAACATAAAAACACTTCATATATAAAAGATATTTACACTTACAAAGTATAAACTGATATAACCGTAACACATATAAACACATAATAAATAACACATAAATATAACTAATAATATAAATTAAGAAAAATGTATAAATTAGAAACATTTACAAAACACAACCTTATTTGTTTAATGACATACCACGTAATAAATGTTTAACAACTTTAAAAAAACTAATGATCTAATGACCTGGTTTATATTATAAATGCAAACAGATATTCTTTAATATTTTTAAAATAAGATCTTTTAAAGATATAAAATATGATTTGTTTGTTATTATACAACATAGAGTTGACTGTGTGAGGTGCAAGGGTGTGAGGTGCAAAGGTTTTAGAGATAAACACTAAAGTTATCTAGAGTTTGACCTTTTGGAAAGAGCATCGTTTTCTAGAGTCATCATCGTCTTCCAATTTTTAAAAATAAAAAATAAGAGACTAATATACTTTATCAATACAATTGGCAAAGAACTTGAATTGCGTTATTATTAAAATGCATGAATTAAATAAATTACCTGGCTTTAAAAGTAACATAAGGTTTATCCTTTACTACAGAAGTCATCAAATTAAAATTTTTTTGATCTTATTACTGATGAAGCAAAGTTTTTGATCTTATTACTGATTAAGCAGATATTAACAGATTATAAAGATTTAAAAATACATCATCGTGTGGTCAAAAAAAAAATATATATATAAAAAGGCCAAGTATGGAAAAAACTCAATGTCAAAGGTGCACAAATGGGTAACAGCCGCAGCAGCAATAAATTAAGTATTAATTATAAGCGATTGATTTTAACTATTTTGTTTTCGTGTTTTATGATTTTAATTTTTATGTTCATTTCTGTTTTTAGCTTTCTGTTTCTATTATTTGCTGATTATTAGAAATCAAATGCATCAAGAAATATTTTTTTTTAATTTCAGATGAGCCAAAATCTCTTAATCTCAATGTTATAAATTATGGCAACAGATCTTTGCAAATAACGGTATGACATGTGTGTGTGTGTATATATGTATATATATATATATATATATATATATATATATATATATATATATATATATATATATATATATATATATATATATATATATATATATATATATATATATATATATATATATATATGCTGGGATTGAAATAGATAAATATATTTATATAGACATATATATGTGTGTGCGAAATGTGTCCGATAAAAAATGACATTCATCAGTTATTTTGTTTGACCCATATTTTATGTGCATTTACTTTATAATCATTTTAGATATTCCAAAATTATTAATAAATTCAGTGTTAAATATAAACTTCATTTTTGTGAACTTTTTATTTTTTAAACAAAACAGAAGTTGAAGTTGATGTTAATACAAGACATCATTTTTGTGAGTTAATTCATTTTTTAAAAGGTGCCAAAGCATGAATTAAGTAGCCTGGTTTTTCTGAGATTTCTTTTTTTAGATAAGATAAACTTGAATGTTTATTGAACAAATTGTTCAGAACAAAAGGTTTTGTTATTTCGAGCTCTGAATCTGTGTGCGTCTCTCTCTCTCTCTCTCTCTCTCTCTCTATATATATATATATATATATATATATATATATATATATATATATATATATATATATATATATATATATATATATATATATATATATATATATATATATATATATATATATATATATATATATATATATATATATATATATATATATATACATATATAACCTTCTCATAAAGCGTGTGCAGTCGCAAGCCTTATAAATGACCACGCATACAATTTTTTTTGATAGCCACATTAGGTTTTTTGCATATATTGATAATTTGTGTTTTTTAAAAATATGTTGAAAAAAATTATTGAGTGATAAAATAAATAAACCATTAAAAATAAAAGCATTAAACTAATATATTTTTTAATTTAGAAGCGTCTCAATAGTTCAAACTTATCCTTTAATTTAGAAGCGTCTCAATAGTTCAAACTTTTTTTATTTAAAAGCGTTTAAATTAATTGTTTTAACTAATAATTTTTTCTATATCAGTCCTTGTTTTAAAGCGTTATGTGTAGAGCAATTTATGTACGCCTTGATCAATTTTACTTGATGTTTTAACAATTTAAATGCTATAAAAAAAATTGTTACGTTATAAATAACTTTTAATTGTTGATCTTTTCTAAAGATTTTATTTTATGTGAAGGGTTTAAATAAAGTATAAAAGTAATAGTGATTGTTTAAAATAAAAAAATTGTGAGTAAAATAACAAATAATGTTATATTTTAATTTTTTTATGTACAATTTAAAAATAATAAATGAAACAGTTTTTAGTAATTTAAATAAAATTTAGTTATTCATTAAACAATCATTAGAAGTAATTTGTAAAAGTGTTTTGTGTAACTTCAATTAAAATTGTAAAAAAAGTAATTTTCGCTTTAAGTTTTTTGAGTTTAATTTAGTGCTTATATATTTTCTCTTTCATAAAGAAAAGTTTTTTTTTTTTCATTTTTTTTTTTTTTTTCCTTTAATTTTCTTCCTAGTTTAAGTTTAGCTAGTGTTTCTTTTTTCAGCGCAATTCTTAAATGATCTAAAAATCATCTAAACATCTAAACAGTCGTAGTCAAGTTGTCAAAAAATGAAATCATTTGCATGGTTAGCAATAGCGCTCCATTGCACACCATTCCTGTCCAAGCCTGATGAAAAAACTCAAATAAAATTAAAAATTTATTTTTGTTTTGTTTTTATTTTATTGTAATGATTGATTTTTTTTGCTTGAAAAATGCTTATACTTTAAGCATGAAGCAAAGATTGTTTAATTCTGATAAAAAATATATAATTTAATTTAAAAGTAATTTAATAAAAATATATAATTTTATTCTGATATAAAAAAAGTATAATTTAATTTACATTTAAAAAATATATAATTTAATTTTGATTTGAAAAATATATTCAAGTTTATTAAAATAAAATTAATACTTAAGTTTAACTTAACTGTCAAATTTATTTAAAAATATTACTAACTATTGTTCAATGTCAAGCCTAAAAAATTTTAAACATTTCTGGTAGTGAGCAAAGATCCTGTTTTTAATTCTTCTTAAGGATGTTTGACAAACTATATTTTGTTAGTTGACTTCAATAGTTCTTTGTTTTTTTTTATGTTTTTTTTTGCTGGTCTTCTTATTTAATTACTTTTTTATTCTGTTTAAAAGGTGGCATTCTTTTCATTGCCTTTTTACTATAAATTACATATAGATTAGAATTCAAAACAAAGTAAACATATTGTATTTATCAATGAATTATTATGCATCGTTAACATTAGCATAAATTAACATAAGTTACTGCAGCATACTAGATATTTTAAAATAACATAAATTACAGCAAACTAGATATTTTAAAATAACATAAATTACAGCAAACTAGATATTTTAAAATAACATAAATTACAGCAAACTAGATATTTTAAAATAACATAAATTACAGCAAACTAGATATTTTAAAATAACATAAATTACAGCAAACTAGATATTTTAAAATAACATAAATTACAGCAAACTAGATATTTTAAAATAGCATGTATTACAGCAGCATACTAGATATTTTAATTAAATTATAAAAAATTCCAAAAAACTTGAAAAAACCCAAATGGGCTTTTCCAGGTTTTATGGATTTTTTGAAAAACTGATCAAAATTTTAAATATTTATTACTGTATGTTTGCAGTAATTTTATTTTTTATTTCATAAATTCACATCCCTATTGCTCCCTGTCCATTACAGTAATAAAAGCATATTAAAAAAATATTCTCTCTCGATCCTTTACTTAGAAACACAAACATTTCTAAACAAGGAATTAAACAGATCGAGCACAGTAAAATTACCAGATTTGCACAGTAATTTCAGAGGTAGCAGAGCTGATTTGAACCTCAACCTTTTGATTGCGAACCTAATGTTTTACCACTATTTTACCACCACGTTATATCTATAATGATGTTAATTAATTGCATTAGATTAAAAACATGTTCAGAATATTTTAAACTAAGTAAATCGCAATAAAAATTATTATGGCGACTGATTTATTCAAAGTTGGTAAGATAATATAAATTTTGCAAACTAGTTTTTTCACATGTTCAATCTGTCAGTTCAAAAACTAATTTGCACAAGCTTACAGCGTCTTATGTCTACAAGTTTGCAATATGATGTTGCAACTTTGTAAATTATTGTTAATCAGGTTGACTATTAACACCATTTAAAAATTTTTGCATCATAGAAGAAAACTGTTAGCCTTTTTGCTACATTTTATTTTAACAGAACATTATGCTATCTAGTTTCCTGGAAAAGTTCTAGGTCTGATCAACACCACGCAGTAAATATCTTTTTCGTATTTTATATGATCATTGTTTTTTTAAAACAAGGTTAGAATAATTAGCTATTTGGGGTAATATTGAACACTTTATAATGTTTTTATTTTTTAGATTTTGGTTAGTTTTGTTTTGCAAATGGGTTTGTTCCTAAGCTTAGATTGTTCTTAAAAATATCTAAAATGGTTTTGTTAAGAATTATTGCGGTGTCTTCACCACCAGGTTCTTTTTTTTACTTTCTGGAAGATGTTACATCACCTCAGTTTGCAACTAAATCAAAGTAACATAATATATAGCTTTATTCTGCATGTTTTACTTTACCTTTTAGTAAACTTGGTACTGATGTTTATTTTTACCCCTGTGTTTATAATCACCCCCTTTGAAGGTACATGTTTTAATCTTGTAGTTAATACAAATTTTTTAAAATCTATTTAATAGACAGATGAGCATGAGTATCAGTTTAACCAATAAACCTTGTCTTTGTGAAGTGCATTCAAGTTTTCAACATGTTTTCATTAAATGATCAAACATGTTGCAAACTTGCATACACATAATATATGTATATTATGTTTTAAGGTTGTATGCACTTAAGAAGGTAAAGTTTGCAGTCTAGTAAACTGTAGGATAATTTTTTTGCCTGACAACTTTCTACTTCCAGAAAGTGAATTAAGTCTAACAATTTTTATATATACTGTTCTGCCTGAAATGAATTTTGCAGTTTATAACAAACTTTACAAAATATAGATCAAATACCAATATAAAATGACTGATGTAAAGCGGTTGTTTAGAAATATAGGTATTTAAAAGGAGAGAAAAGATATTAAACAACTAGTAATCTCTTGTAGTTTGAAATTTAGTTAATAGAATGATTTTTATTTCCTCTATAAATATTTAGCTAATTTGCCCTAGTATTTTAATACATATTTTAATAATATTTTTTGATATTTAACTTGGTATATGATTTAAAAAGTAATAAGTTACCGATTTGCTACAAAAAATGATTGATTGGTTTTGAATTATTCTGTAAGGAGTTCAAACTAAAAATTATATTCTAAATATGATAATACAGTGTATACAAGAGCATTTATAGTATGTTGCAATTTTATGATAATAAAGCATTTATAGTATGTTGCAAGAGCATTTATAGTATGTTGCAAGAGCATTTATAGTATGTTGCAAGAGCATTTATAGTATGTTGCAAGAGCATTTATAGTATGTTGCAAGAACATTTATAGTATGTTGCAATTTTATGATAATAAAGCATTTATAGTATGTTGCAAGAGCATTTATAGTATGTTGCAAGAGCATTTATAGTATGTTGCAAGAACATTTATAGTATGTTGCAAGAGCATTTATAGTATGTTGCAATTTTATGATAATAAAGCATAAGAGTAAAAATCTTATTATTTATCACTTATTGAAACAGATTATTTTTTAAACAAATTCTAAAAACCCAACTATATTTTGGTTTTATAAGGTGGATTTTTTTTTGCCAACCCTGATTATAATTGAGCCTTAATTATGAATGGAACAAAATTATACTAACACTTGAACTTTAAAATTTTTCATGAAAACCATTTAATTATTAGGTTGTAAAATAAAAATACGTATGTATCAGATCAAAAAAAAGAAAAGTATTATTGTCTTACAACAAAAGTATTGAAACAAAGCTACCTTATAAGAAACAAAGCTACCTTATAAGAAAGATGCTTAAGCATAGTCATAAGCTTTTTTGAGATTATTCTAAACATTATTTTAAAAATTCATATGGTTATTTCTAATAAAGCACACATTTTGTTGTTTACAAAAAAATAAACAGAAAATACACCATTATTTGTATGTATTTAGACAAATAAATTATAAAATGGAACAGATGTAATGAAAGATTTGTAATTTTGCTTTTAACATTTCATATTCACATTAAAAATTAAAATTGCCAGTACTTCGAGTTGTGCTACATAAATACTTTCATAACAAAAAAATGTTTCTTGTAATAAAAAGAACAATATTTCAGTCCTCGGAAATAGGGTCAGCCGATCTAGAAGTGTTTGAGGTCAGCAAAATATCGCCGACCTTATTTCTATGATTTATGGTCAAATCTTTGTTTTTCTGCTGACCTGATGCCGACCTCGCACAGAATTAGGTTGGCAAATTACTTCCAATCTTATTTTTTCTTATTCCAAGGGCTGATATTTGATGCAGCCATTAGAACAATAGACTCTTAAAAATTTGTGTGATCCTTTGGCCAACCCTAATATATATGTATGCAACTTATAATGGGAATTAGAACTCTGATATAATACCCTTAATTTGAAATTTTGATTTTCAGGAGCCCGATAATTAGCATTATGTAAGTTGACTTGACCATAAAAATAATACATTGCTTTATCTTTCCATACAATATTATCTATGCCACCACTTTTCAGTTTATTAATTATTTAGAATTTGTTGATTTTTTTTATCTTAACCCATTGCTTAAAGGAAACGACGTTGAGATATATTTGGACAGTGCACAACAAGTCCACTAGAGTAAATGTGTGTTATTTAAAATTATCCAAAAAAAGATTTCTGTTTAAATATGTCAGCTTGGGTCTCATGTGTGATGAGATTTGTATGTGCAGGCCTTGCGATAAAGCGTCGGGCGATGTGAATTTTACGTCGTCCAAGAGCGATTTTGCGTGTAGCTAGGGCTATTTGCGTCGAGCAAAAATATTTTTGTTTGAGTATATTTAAAGATATTTTTGAGCAGAATTTTAATGAAGTAATTTACGATTATTTTAACATTTAATAAAGTATTTTAAAAACCGCACGCAGTTGATACAAAAGCTTGATTTACAAAATAATTAAATATTCTCATTATTTACAAGTAGAAAAAATTCAGATAAAAAAAAGTTTAAATCTTTTTAAGGTAACATTTTAATAAAATTATTCAGCAATAGCAAAGTTGTCGATAAAATTGGACAAAAATACTTTCTTTTAGTTTTAGATATTTAACTTAAATAATTATTTTATGGGGGTTTGTTAGGTTTTAAATTATTCCATAGATTTAAAAATATTTATTAACTGTTAGAAGTATTTAAAGTATTTAAGAATACTTTCGAGGAAACTTTTTAAAATTGGTAAGCGCAAATAAAAAAAATAAAAGGAATAATATTAAAACGTATGTCTTTCATACCTATAAGATTTTTATTCTAACATTTTATTTTATTTTACCAAAAATAAAATTCCTTGTAAACATTAAAAATCTATTCAAAACGTTCGTTAAAGTTTTTTAGTAATACGAGTGATTGTGCTTATCAACCGCTTTATGAAAATAAATAATAAAAAAATATTATATAAAATCGCTAGTAAAAATATTAGCTATTGCACAGTTTTTAATCGTACAATATTAAAATTTCCAGTTTATTACTCGCTGACTTTTTAAAAAGAAAAAATAATTATTTGAAAAACTTTAAATTATATATTTGAGAAAGAAAAAAAATCAAATATTAGAATACTTTATAATCTTTTTTAAATATTTAGTTAAAATGTTTTTTATTCGTTTAGTATGTCAAACGTCGAGAAAATAACCAAATGTTTTTACATTTTAAAAAACGAAACATTCCAAAACATTTTTAAATAATAACATTTCTACATTAATGATTTAAAGTAGTTTTGCGGTAATTAAGTAAATTGGTGCAGTTAATGTCGATAAATATGAAAAGCAAATAAAAAGAATTTAATGACGTCAAAAATCACGTCGTGCTTATGCGTCGCGCAGTTTTTATTCATCACAAGGCCTGTATGTGCATGTAGGGTTAGAACTATTGTTATTGTAAAAATTAAATACAATAATAATTGCAATACAATAATATTGTATTGTAATACTAGAGATGCAATTAAAACATTTATGGTTATTGTATTGCTGTGAATAAAAACACTTACAATAACTATTGTATTGTCTTTTTTTTCTAACAATACATTGAAGCTCTAAAATTATTGTATTGTTTTGCTGTGATGTAATACAATGACATTAACTATTGTATTGTATTGCTGTAATATAAAACAATTACAATAAGTACATTGATGTATTATATTACAAAGTTATTATATTCAAAGTCTAATAGCCATTGTATTTTATAGTATTTAGACTCTTTTTTCACTCATTTATAATTATTTGGGCACTAGATAATTTAGGGGTGCCCGTGACGCTTGTTTTCAGCAGTCATTTATATACATAAATTTTATTTATTTTGAGCAGGGAAGCCAAAGAAGTATATATACTACGTATACTTAATAAATATTAGGTTTCTAGAAACCATTTACATATATAAATTTTATTTATTTTGAGTTCAATAATATAACTTTTTCAATAATAATTTATTTAGAATTAACATTAATAATATTCATTCAAAATCATACAAATATATAATTTATCATATGCTTGTAATTAAATAATTATTTACTTTAAGAAGTAAAATTTTTATAATTTGTCTAAACTGATATTGACATGTTTCACCGGATGATGACGTCTAAACTAATTGATTGACTACATTAAGCGCTTTTTTTTTTCAATATATCTAACCCCTCATGTGTAATCAATTACATCGTTATGGAATCAAAGAAGCATTAACCTGAGTAATTATCGATTAGATTGTCTGAAAATGTAAACTACTTTTGTTTTGTTAAAAATTTTTCTACATTTTCAGATTGTTCATCACCTATCAGACCATACCAATAAATTTTGTGTGGATCATTTTTGAAAAATGAGGCAGTTAAGAAAACCAAATAAATATTGGTTCTTGATTTATATAACAAAACTCTTTTATAACTTTGCAACTTGATGTCCAGTTACTTTATGAAACACATACAGCCATAAAGCCGAAGGGAAACAAAAGACAAAGTTATATTAGAATAAGTGTGAGTTGAGTAAGTTTCGGTAAGGTAGGTGTCTAATGTAAAAGCAAATAACTAAGTGAAAGAAATGATAGTAATTGATCATGTCTATCCCCAGCAGTAAAAGAAATACAGGCCCGATTAAACTTTATAGAGCTATATAAAGTTAATAAAATAAAAAAGAAACAGAATCAATACTTATATATTATTTGTACCCTATTTCAAGGTCACTTATCTCAGAGACTGGACTTTTAAAACATTTATTAAATTTGACTCTAAAATAATTTTTTTTATTACAATAACAATATATTGTTATTGTATTATAAAGACGAATTACAATACAATATTTATTGTTATTGTAGTGGGTCATTACAATACATTTTTTTTTCAGAGATTGATATTGTTTTATAAAGATGAGTTGCAATACAATATTTATTGTTATTGCATTACATTATTACAATAGTTGTAAATCACAAGTATTGTTATTGTTTCTAAATTAAGTTAATACAATAACAATAGTTATTGTTACTGTTTTTGTTTGTATTACAATTACAATAGTCCTAACCCTATGTGCATGTATTAATGTCCTTACATACATCTATTGCTTTTTGTTGTGTACAGCAAATTCAAACAATTAAACTTAGTATTAAAGGACATAAATCTTTCTTTTTTTTAATGCACAAAAAACTTAAATAGACAAATAAATATTATTTTTGTTTTTATTTAATTTATAGTCTATACAAGTGGTTCCTCCAAATAGTGCTATTAGCATACAGTTTTCTGTAAGTTTCTTTGTTCTTATTTTTTTTTAACTATACACAATACATATTACTCAATTTACATATATGATAAGTTTATATAATATGTTAAATGTAGATAGTGTTAAAACGATAATGTTATTAAATATCGGTCCTAAATTAATAAGACATTATGGTCAGTAAACTTTACTATTAACATAGCTTAGTAAGATTCCTTTAAATGGTATTAATTATAAGTTTGCCATATTTTTCAGAATTCTATTCTCAATGCTTAGGGTGACCATTGCACAGTGATTCAAAAACACATAAAATTAGGCCAAAATACAGTTTTTTGAGTAGTACAATATCTTTAATGGTAACTTTTATATTAATAATGTTATTAGGTATTTTTAACATTTTCTTATGATTCTTACAGTTAAATAAAAAGTATTTAATAGATTTAAACATGAATATATGTCATCCTCTAATACATATGCTCTCTCTTTTAATAGATATGTTTATATTTATATATATATATATATATATATATATATATATATATATATATATATATATATATATATACACACACATACATATACATACAGCCCTCGGAATTAGGGTCAGCATTAAAAGATTGTGCTATATCAAAAAAGTGAAAACAGAAATATCATTATAGTTAAGAAAAAAAGTGTATGCTCCCACTTCCCTTATTATAATAAAGGAAGTTGGAGTTTTATCTCTTTGTTTGTCATAAAAAAAAAGCGCTGGTAAGGTAATTAAGTGAAGTTTTTTTTTTGCTACAAGTAATATTTTTTGTTTGTTAATAACTTTTTGAAAGTTAAAAATCATTATTATTTGCAAAGCTTCAATTTTAAGAAATAATGAAAAAAAGATTAACATATTTCAAGTCATTTATACAAACATGGAGAAAATAAAGAAATTAGTTTATGTTAAATAATAATGAAAAGTTTAGTATTAAATTAAATTATTTAATACTAAAAAATGAAAAAATTTGAAACAAAATAGACTTTCCACAATATTTACATTTGAAAAATAACCATTAAACTTTAATTTCCATAAATGAATAAAAAAAAATTTATTTATGGAAATTAAAGTTTAACAGCTCAGCATATTAGCTCGCCATGACATCAAAGTCATGGCGAGCTAATATGCTGAGCTGTTCTTATTTAAAACAAGGCCTTATATATATATATATATATATATATATATATATATATATATATATATATATATATATATATATATATATATATATATATATATATATATATATATATATATATATATTTATATAAACCTATAGTAAAAGGCCCAAATATACAGTTTGGGATCAAAAACAGATTGTAGCTTGTTTATGGTTTTTAAACTGACAAAATTAAGCAAATGAATATTAATGCAGACACATAAAAGTTGGTTTAACTAATACTTTTTATATTAGGAGAATTTAGAAAAAAAATCTTATTTATTTTAATGTTAATTAAAATTATTTATATTATTGTTCTTTTTTTTTGTGTATGTATTCTTATTTTAGTTAACATATAAATATACATAAATAAATAAAAATAAGTATTACATAAATATTTTTATTTAGACATTAAAAAAAAGATTTATTTGCCTTCTCCTAATATAAAATAAAATTAGTTAGAACCTTTTTTATTTTTGTTTTAGTAAAACAAATCTTTTGTGAGTGCAATTAAGGGGGGGGGGGTCATCCATAAAGCACGTCACCCTATATTTGTCAATTCTTTACCCATTTCATTTTGTCACAAATGATGACATATATCTGAACCCCTTTTCCTCCTTAAATGTGACGGTTTTTTCATCAAAAATATTTTGATAGGTTTAAATGTAAATACTTTGCAGCATTTTTAAAATTCAACCTTATCAAATTAAGGCAATAAGCATTAATATAAGAAGTGTAAGTAAAAACTTTGACAAAAGATTATTTTAATGACTTAAATAAGTATTAATAAAGTTGTAATGCTAAAATAATAAAAATAAGTATTAATAAAGTTGTAATGTTAAAATAATAAAATTAAGTATTAATAAAGTTGTAATGCTAAAATAATAAAAATAAGTATTAATAAAGTTGTAATGCTAAAATAATAAAAATAAGTATTAATAAAGTTGTAATGCTAAAATAATAAAAATAAGTATTAATAAAGTTGTAATGCTAAAATAATAAAAATAAGTATTAATAAAGTTGTAATGCTAAAATAATAAAAATAAGTATTAATAAAGTTGTAATACTAAAATAATGACTTAAATAAGTATTAGTTTTTTGGTATTAGTTTTTTTAAATTAGGATTTGATTTGAAGACTACTCTACAGCCAACTTTCCGAAATATTTTTCTTAATTTTAAGGATAGTAATGGCCTAATTTTATGTTATTCCTGATCACTGTGCTTTGTCCCAATTTTTATGTAAGAGAGCGCAGCACTAAACTAATTAAAATTATTGTGTTCTCCTATGGAAATACAAGAATAATTGCAACCCTACAAATGTTTAACTTATTTTAAAATTATGATTTTTTATAAAAGTTGATAATGAAAAGAAAATTATAAAGAAACTTAAATTTTAAATTAAAAAAAAATTTTTTCTATGAAAATATTATTTTCTTTAAAATAAACTTTCTTGTTTCTTGTAGTTTTTTGAAAAGAAACTTTTCTATCAGTAAAATTAGTTAAAATACCTGACTTCATTATTCTGAAAATCAAAATTATGAAAGCTATATTTCTCTAACAAAAGTTATCTTAAAACTCTTCAATTTCCATGTTTTTATTCTTTCTATATTTTTTATGGAAACAATTTTTTTGTTAAGAAGTAGCATTAATAGGGAATATTTTAGTCATTAGAATAACAGATGTTTAATGATTTTTTATAAATACAATGTTTTACAACATTGAGATTTGTTGGAATCACAAAAATGAGAAATTTTTGTATTTATTTACATATTTTACAAAGATGCATGCAATCTAAAAATTTTGTATAAATTTTTCCAAATTATAAATATAATATTTTTTGATATATATGTATATTTTTAATTAACTAGCCTCTTGTATTGAAGCCTACGAAAAAGTATACAAAAATAGCAATTGTTAGTTTTTTAGGTAATTGTTATATGCTTCTTAATTTAATATAGAAGTAGAACATACTTTTTTTTCACAGACCATATTTTATATTGTTATTGTGGCTTTAAAAATGTATATAAAAGTTGTAAAAAGTTTATTGTATTCTTTTAAAAAATTTAAAATTATTTTAGCTTTAAATTCAACTCATAGAAGACAGAATAGTGGTAAAATAGTTGTATCTACAGCAGATGATTCAATAAAGTTAGAACTTCAGTACCATGCTGATGTTTTATATGGGTATTTTAAAATATTCCTAGTGATATTATTATTCTGTATTATTTATGATGTTGCTGTTCTGTGTTTTTTATAACTTTTAATGTCTTTAGACTCATTATTATTTTTTTGGCTTTAAAGGACTCTAGCATATTCTTTTGGTAATGCATCATTTTTTACTGGAAATTCTCCTTCTTCGCAGCCATTAGCAATCACAAATACTTTTAATGTTTCACTTGTCATATATAATGCAACACTTTCCCAAGAAATTCAAAACATATTTTATGTAAGTCTTGTGTGTTTTATTTTTTGCATTAATTTCTTAGTTTTTGTAAATACTTAAAAAAAAGAAAGTAATACGAACATTTTAAAATTGATTTTCATTATAATTTAGTGGGAAAAAAAATTATTTTTAGATTTCTAATTTTGAGCCACCAGTACTAATACCACCTGGAATACTTCTCTCTCCACTAACTATAAATTTTATAGCAAATCATTCATCACTGTCTATTTCTTCTGTATTAAGACTGTATACTAATGCTTCGATATTCACTATACCAGTGAGCTGTTATAATGGAAAACTTGAGGTAATTAAAAAAATTTTTTTTTTTTCAAATCTCAATGAGTGTATCTTTTTTATATACTTTCTAATGCACATAGTTAATATACACTAATTACTAATAATTTAAATTAATTTGATTTGCATGTGAGCAAGTATAGCAATTTTCTATTGATGTGATATAATATCATTAAAAAATATTTCACTAAGTACTTAATTTATTTTCTATTGATGTGATATATCATTTAAAAATGATTCTTTAAGCACTTAATTTATTTTCTATTGATGTGATATATCATTAAAAAATGATTCACTAAGCACTTAATTTATTTTCTATTGATATGATATAATATCATTAAAAAATGATTCACTAAGCACTTAATTTATTTTCGATTGATATGATATAATATCATTAAAAAATGATTCACTAAGCACTTAATTTATTTTCTATTGATGTGATATAATATCATTAAAAATGATTCACTAAGCACTAAATTTATTTTCTATTGATTTGATAAATCATTTAAAAATAATTCACGAAGCACTTAATTTATTTTCTATTGATGTGATATCATTAGAAAAATGCCCAGTTTTACAATTACAAAAATGCTCACTGAGTACTTATGTATTCTGTGGATTTTATATGCTATCAATCATCTATATTGATTGTTAAATTGTTGCATTAGCTATTTTTAAAGGACTTTACCATTTATCTGTATAATTAAATATAGAGTAAAGCATACAAGTTTTTTGTATATAGAATGTTCAGGTAAAAAACCTAATGTAAATAAGTTAAGTTTCTTTAGCTGTATTGGTTGTAGTTGTATATAAATTTATTTTTTCATTAAATGTTAATATTAAAAATGAACAATTTTCATTTTTTATTTGGTGAATATTATAACTCTTTCTTGTTAATTTAAAGATGCTAAAAGTTTATTTTTACTATCAGCTCTATTTTTTTATTCTATAAATTATTTTATTATTTATAAATTTCTTATTTTAATTTCAATTAATTATTTTAGATCTAAATAATGAAAATAATAGTAATGGAATTATTATAGCCAAAATACTAATACCACAGTGGGCCAGAACATGCCAAAAGTTGACAAAATTATAAAGAACCCTTATATGGACACATGCATCAAAAAAGTTTAGCCAGCATGTTACTACAATCATATGTATTTTATGGTTATATCAAGTGAGAATGTTTTGTAAAAATGCAAAAAATTGCAAAATACAATAAATTATGGTGAAGTTTAAGAACATACTCTATAGAAGTCTAAGAAATGCAGTAGTGGTGTAATGGTAGAGCGCTTGCTTCATAAGCAAGAGGTTCCGAGTTTGATCTCCACCATGTCCCTGGTAGTGCCACACTTAAATTGTTTCTCCGCGCACCACCCTTGTTCGTCAAGGTTCATTATTTGGAGTTATATAGTTAAGAGAGGGTTATAACCAGAATTAAGTAGCCTCCTTGTCTGTAGTGGCCTTCACAGCCTTTGAAAGGTGAATTAACATTTAAAAAAAATTAAAAAGAAATACCCCGTTAGGGTTTCTTACATTACAGCAATATATATATATATATATATATATATATATATATATATATATATATATATATATATATATATATATATATATATATATATATATATATATATATATATATATATATATATATATATATATATATGCTGTATATGTGAGTAATTTATTAGTTAGCCTTAAGATATATGAAGTAGAAAATAAGATATTTATTAGTTGTTAGTTAAGTTTGTGGCAAGCTTTGTAATTTTTTAATAAGAACTTATTTTTGTGGTAGCACTTTGATATAATTTCGGTTCTTTTATTTAGCAGCTCCTTGAGTTTTGGATACAATATAATTGCAAATTTCTCATATAGACATAATAGGCATCTTTTGGAATTATTTGAGTAGGGGGGTACAGCCTTCTGAACAAACCATGTAAATATAGGGGTTTTGTTAAAATTGTTTTTCAAATCCCAGATGAAGTTTGACAGGACGGTGGACTTTTTGTATTTAACATTATTGAATGATGATTGTGAATGGTTTTCATTTTTTACTTTTTGTTTTTTTCTTCTTTTTTTGAAAAAGCTGTATGCTTTAAAGGTAAAGAACTAGTAACAATTTTTTATCTATATATGCTATTGTATATATATATGTATATATGGGCAATTCCGCAAGAGTGGCGGCTGTAACTTTTTTTTTTTTTAATTTAATTCACTTCCTCAAGGCCGAGGAGGCCACTACAGGTGAGAAGGCTACTTATTTGTGGTTATAACCCCCTCTCGACTCTATAACTCCGAAACACGAACCTTGATAAACAAGGCCGCTGCGCAGAGAAACGAGTTTAGCGCGGTACTACCAGGGACGTGGTGGTGATCAAACTCTGAACCACTCGTTTATGGAGCAAGCACACTACCACTACACCACTATCGCATTTGACACTCTTTAAGTTATTAAAAATGAACCAAAAAACGGAAATGACTTGAAACTTTACAGAAATGTGAAATACTATCATATAATTTAGTTTGTAAAAGTTACAGCATTAAAGTCTTCAACTTTTTTCAAAATTTAACTCTAATTAGCGTGACGGTTGTAACGCTTACCTTTTACCACTTCTGAACAAATGAAATGCAGCAAACTGCATGGTAAAAAAAAAACCTTTGGTGTGTGTATTTAGCACATATTGATGTTCTTATATGCTGAGTTTCATAGTTTTTATTTGAAGTTTTACAAGGTTTTTTTTTTTTTTGTCGTGACGGTCGTAACAAATAATCCAATGCTTAAAAACAACAAATATAACGACACAATCAATGATGTAAGAAAAAAAGTATAAATAATTATTAACAACTATATAAAGTATGTTAAAAAAAATGCAATTAAATATTATCAAAGTTTTCAATTATGGGTATATGGTACGATTTTTAACACTACACAACAGGACTGTAAATAGGTGTCAAAACATGTTTATATGACCATTACAACTTTTAAGGGACTACCTAGTCCCGAGACATGTTGTGTTCATATTAAAGAGAATGTTAAAAAAAAAACGTCTGAGCAAATTTTTTTTGATTAAAACTAATTAATAAATGTATATCAAGAAAAACAAATCTTGTTTTAGTCAAAGCTCGCCTTCTCCATTTTCTGCGGTATTTTGAGTATGTAAAATAAACACGATTTTCCAGGCGAATAATACAGACTTTATAATTTATTCAAGCGCGTTTAATTTATAGAAGTTTTAGTGCATGACGTCAAAAATTTTTTTTTTGTTTGTTTAAAACACCGATTGTTATTTTTTACATACAATATCCAAATATTTTAAAGTTCCAAATATTTTAAAGTTCTAAAATGTGTTTGTAAAACAAAATTAAAAACAAAATAAAATTAAAAACAAAATAGTATTTTATTTGCGCAACTTTTTTTAAATAATCGTCTAGACCACGTGTATTTTGATTTCTTTTGTTATAAGTTTTTCTTTCAAAATATTAGAAAAAAAAATTATTAACACATTTTTTCTCTGATTTTCAAAAATGTATTTTTTGGTATTGAGGTGATCTTATTTTATTATTTTTATTTCCATTATTATAACATCCAATATATATTATGGCGGGGGCTTAAAAATTATAAAATTAATATATATTAATTTTTATTTTACAGACATACATGGAAACATAATTAATTTGAATGTTCTTAAAATATCTTGCGGAAGAATAAAAAGAATATTGACGAACACTAAAAACCTGCCAAATTTGCGAACAAACTAATTCTATTGGTTCAAAAAATACGCTGACTAAGAGAAATAAAGTTCAGAGTATTCTGTTGAAATGTTTTAGGAATTGTATTATTTACGATTTGTTGCGTTTTAAGATATCTAGCATAAATTTTTTTAAGAATATATTATCAAATGAACTATCACTTTAATATTATATATTTTTATATAATTTAATATCATTCTCGGAGCCACATCTGTAAAGCCGTAAATCTTTTAAACTATTATCATTTGTTTACAAAAATAAATGTTTTCTAATATATATTTTTTAAATTGTCAAAATTTTGAAAGTTGATTACAAATTATATACTTTATTAGTATATTCTTAATTTTTATATCTTTTCTTAGTGCTTGGTTTAATTAATTGTTCGTTAGATTTGTAAAAAACTAACGAACAAATAATAAAATAAGTAACTATAGTTAGCTATTTTAATAAAATTTAATAGTAAAATTTTTAAAAGAATTTCTAGAATGTTTCCAATGACGTCATGCGCTAAAACTCCTATGAATTAAACGCGCTTGAATAAATTATCAAGTCTGTATAATGTGCCTGGAAAATTGCGTTTATTTTACATACTCAAAATACCGCAGAAAATGGAGAAGACGAGCTTCGACTAAAACAACAAGATTTGTTTTTCTTGGTATTCATTTATTAATTAGTTTTAATCAAAAAAAATTTGCTCAGACGTTTTTTTTAAACATTCTCCTTAATATGTACACAACATGTCTCAAGACTTGGTAGTCCCTTTAAAACCATGCTATGGTATCATAAAATGATTTTTTATTTTGCTTAAAAATATTTTAAAATTGTTAAAAAAAAAAGTTTTGGAGTTTAGTATGTGTTTTCATAACTTTTTTCGCTTTTTTTTCTCTTTCTCACCGAATTGCTCATATATATATACACACACATACAGAGAGAGATTAAATTTGGATAGTAAGTTTTTAGATTTTTTTCGAGTTTATAGAAATTAATTAATTAGCATAATTAATAAGATGTTTAAATAAAATAAAAACTTTACTACATTTTTGTGAAGTTGTTTTTGTTATACTTATATTGTAATTATTTATTTGTTAGTACCATATTGATAGCGCAAGTACAAACAAAAGTTTACTTGATTATGGTACTGTTGGAATTTACGAAAATCGAAGTTTACTCTTCACTATCGAAAACAATAATCCGATTGAGGTATTGTGTCGTTAGTTTTCAAATGTTTTTTATTGACAAATATTGTGTCTTTTCAAATGTTTTTTATTGACAAATATTGTGTGTCTTTTCAAATATTTTTTAGCCATAATGTTAATCATTTATAAGCTATTAATTATAAATCTTTGTAAAAAATTTAACTCTTGCTTTTAAAGTAAACGATATTGTTTTAGATTTTCTTCAACAAAATTAAATACAATTTAGTTCATTGTAATTAATATTAATCATTTTAGGTATTGGTCAAAGAATATAAAACTGATTTTGAGTTTGGTCGTTTAAGTCTTCTTAATGTGAGAAGCTCCACTAAGATGAACAATAAAATGAATATAGAAAATAATACAGTATATTCTGAACAGAAATGGGAAAAGGTTGGTTTTTAAGTTTTGTATATTTTTTAATTTTAATACTGAACCTTAATCTTCTGAGTTTTCACAAGAAGTTTATTTGCTTTTAGCATGAGTTTGTTTTAAAACCAAGTTTTGCTGCTACATTTACTCTTGATACAACTGCTACTCAAAAAGAAGGAGTTTTCCAAGGACATGTGGTTATTGAAACTTCATATGAGGTTTGTATATTTAATAAGAATATAGTTTCTGTTTATTTGAGTTTGAAAAGTAATCATTATTACATACATTTATTATTTGCATTTAAAAGCAATATAGCATTGAAAACATTGTTTTAGATGTTGAAAGTTTTCTGTCAGAAGTATCTAGAATTTAAAATCTAGCTTTTATTCTATATCTGATAGTTTTAAATATCAACAAAAAGTAACAGTTGATTAAACCCACATTGGTTTAAATATATGTTTTGCAAACACTTAGTTGAGTCCTTTTTTTTTTTTTTTACATATTTTGTCTTGATAAATAATTTTGTATTATTAGATCTAAAGTCAAAGTACTTTTATAACACCCTGATCCTTTTATAACACCCTGATACTTTCATAACACCCTGATACTTTCATAATACCCTAATGCTTTCATAACACCCTAATAGTTTCATATTTTCATCCTGTTATTGAAATCTTAATAGCAACATAAAAATTGCTAATAGCAACTTAAGAATCACTAATATCATAAACATGCTTTTTGTTTAAACAATTACATTTTAAATGACCACATGTTATTTGGTATTTTATTCATAATAAGATATTGATTATGCAGCACAATAAGAAATTGTATAAAAGTAAGTTAACATGGCTCAAGACTAAATGTTGAGGGTAAGATAGAGCAAGGTCTCAGTAAGTTAAGGTAAGTCAAGATTTGGAATAAGCACTGAAGTCATGCAAACCACATTAACCTTTAATCTACTGAAATAAAAATATACTCTTATTCTTTTCAATACCTTCATGGGAATTTTGGTTCCAGCATGATTTTAGCCTGACATATATAAATATGAAGTCAATTTGGGGTATTGGGATTCAAATTTTGCATGATTTTTTTGATCCCCATTTAAGAAAATAATTCATTTCATCAAATCTCATGCATATATAATATAAGAATGGATTTGTTAGAGAAATATCCAGAAAATGTTAGAAGATCCTGTTTGCCATGACCTGAGTTTTAAATTTGAATCTGCTGTGAACCAAATCAGTAATCATTAAATGAATCTTGCTGGGGAAGTTGCTGAAGAAAAAGTGAAACTGCTGAGACAAGTTGTGTTCATATTTAAATAAAAAATATTTAGGCCAAATTTTTTTGATTAAAACTAAATAATAAATTTATATCAATTAAAACTAAAATTGTCATTTTAGTTGAAGCTCATCTTCTTTATTTTACTTTGGTTCTCCGAGTCTTTATAATATATGCTGCAATCTACAGACTTAATAATTTATTCTATGCAGTTGATGTTTAATATAATTTTTTTTCTTAATATCGAATTGTTATAATTTGTTATAATTTTTTTTCTTAATATCGAATAATTAATTTTATATATATTTTTAAATATTGCAATTATTTTATATTACTTCTGCCAATATTTATTGCTTTTATTTCAAATACATTCTTTTCCAAGTGGCATAGCTTTACAATATCCACATTTACATCCTTGCTCAATGGTTTAGTTTCAACACTTTGTATGAAAATTAAAATTTTATATGAATGATGTATGAAAGCTGTATAAAAATTAAAATTTTCATAGTTTATATCATTTTTAGTTTATACCATCTTATACCATCATCAGTTTATGGTGTCAACTAGCTGACACCATAAACTAAACCAACAATCAAACAGAAATTTGGACTTAGGAATACGATTTGCTTTTACAGTGCTAAGACTATAATTGCATACATAAGACTCACCATAAGTGGCAAAAATGTTTAGAAATTGTTAAAATACAATATATGGTTTACAAAATTTTTTGCAACAATTAATAATAACATTACCCGTTACTCAAATGTTTGGTGTAAAAAGCAGAACTATGTTATCATTTTTGGCAAAACAAAGGGCTTATTTTCTATTAATTTTCCTTCCCTTCAATATAGTAACAGTAGTTTAAAATTCAAACTAAAAATTTATAGATTAGAATAGTGATTGTTTTTGATCATCTAAACAATTCAAAAAAAATTTTTTTATAAGGTTTTAATAAAGTTAGAGTATATACTTGCATCATTGTCATTAAAATCAGATTTTAATGGTAGCATTTGAGCAAGCTCTTTTTCCTTCTGTAAAATTGTTTTGTGTTTTTGCGAGTGGTATACACTTATAGCTTTCACATATAAACTTGTTCAGGGTGTTAGCCAGGAATATATTTTTTACTGTATTTTTGCGATATTGGAAATATTTATTGTTATTGTTCTACAAAATATTGGGAATTTTTATTGATATTGTCTTATTACTTCAAAAAAAAAAAATTGTCATTGAATTTTAGAAATTTTAAACCCATTTAGAATTCTGCGGTATACACAGTGCCATTGGACTGGCTAACACCCTTCTTTAAAACAAGGACTTTAGGAAGTCTTTATTGGATTCTAGTTAACTTCCAATTTTCTTGAGGTTAACCTGCCTTTCATATCCCTAATAATATATTTGTACAATTTTTATTAAGTTGATTTCTATTTTATTTAATTTAGCACTTTTGTTTCTATTTTAGAACATAACAATACCAGTTAATGCAAAAATGGTTAGAGGAGAACTTTTAGCAAGACCCAAGAAAATAAAGATAGATAAAGCTTTTCCTGTAAAAAAATTGTATTTGTTGTGTAAATTTAATGTTTATGTTTATTTACATAATTATATTACAGCTACCACAAAAATATTGTGGGCATCTGACAATTTTAATTTTCTTTTTGAAAAATTAAGAGTAAAAGGGTAACTACAAAAGTTAATTTGTAAGATTTATTTGATATTTAATCATCTGCCCTTAAGAACTTAGTTAATGAATTTTAATAGGGTCCAGAGGTTTTTGTTCTAAACATTATGTAAAGTATTATGTTATATATATATATATATATATATATATATATATATATATATATACATACATACATACATACATACATACATACATACATACATACATACATACATACATACATACATACATACATACATACATACATACATACATACATACAGGGCTCGAATTAAGTGATCGGAAATTGCAATATGCGAAAATATTTCTGGTAATTAAATTCTTAGTTTTTTTAAAAACAGTCAACACTGTTTTAATGAAACGGTCAATTTATCATATTGCAAAAATTAATGAAAAAACAAAGCAATAAATTAAAATAAATTGCTAAAACTATTTGCACATTGTATGAAACTTTGTATAAAAAACCAACCAATTAAAGAATATGCTAAAGCTACTTGCGCATTATATAAAACATTAAAATAGATTTTTATTTAGGGGGGAAAGTGGATATAAAAGTATTTTATATCTTATTTAACAATTTCTTTTATTTAAAATATTTGATCACTGTTAAAGTCCTTTAGATTGTTGTGATAAGCGCTTGTTTTAATATTTATATCGTACTTTATCGTGCTTTATTTTTCTAGTTTTATCTGATGTTTTATAAAATAAATTAAAATATTAAAGTTTAATAAATTATAATCTTTAATAATAATAAAAATAATAGTAATAATATAGTTTTACAACAAGATTTTATAACATAATCGACGTATATATTTTTTTATTAAATGATATCTATTAAGTTAAGTGTTCAAAACAGTTTTACGGTTTTTAAAAAGCTAAAAATTTAAAGACTGGAAGCATTTCCAGATATCGCAATTCACGATCACTTATTTCGAGCCCTGACATATATATATATATATATATATATATATATGTATGTATATATATATATATATATATATATATATATATATATATATATATATATATATATATATATATATATATATATATATATATATATATATGTATATGTATATATATATGTGTATATATATATATATATATATATATATATATATATATATATATATATATATATATATATATGTATATATATATACTGCTAGATACCATGCAAAGTCGACATTGTTTAAAAACCTAATTTAAAGCAACGATTTTTTTAATATTTTTGATACATATTTAAGATAAAAAATATAAAAATAACATGTGTAGTATTCTATATCATCAATTTAAACATGTTTGACCTCTAAAATACTAAAACTTAGTAAAATTGTTGCCTTTAACTTGCAATATACATGCAAATATAAACGTCACCTTTATTGCTAATTTTTTCATTCTCATTCATACACGGATCTAAACTTAGTGCTTATTTTCCTCTCTGAATGCTGAGAATATTGAAGGGACAAGTTAACTCGAGTTTATTTACCAAAAAACAAAACAGCGTAATAAATCTATGACTACAAAAGTAATAGATAACACTAGCTTACTTATAACTTATATTTCTATGTTTGAATAACAGTTCATTCAGGTATCATAGTTTTTAAAAATTAAAATAAATATATCCTAATTTTTATTTGAAATAAAAATGCATCAAGAAAAAATACAATAGATTTATAAATAATATTAAAAACTTTAGAAGCTTTTACTAACACTTTTAAAAACAAGCATTTCTTAAATTGTTATTAATGGTTCAGAAATATGTACGTTGTATTTAAAATCAACAAATAAAAAAACTGCTAATTTTTTCATTAGTGGATACTACAATTTTAAATGTTTTTAATTAATAAAAAGAATAAACATAAAATAAATATGAGTGGGTCAGAAGCCAAGGGGTACAAGTGACAATTTTACCAAAATTAAGTTAAGTATAGAATTTGATAGAAGAAGCAAACAAAATTGTTGGTGGCCAAGGGATACAAGTGAATCTCTGCCCTGTGCTGCTTTCTACTGGAAAAACATAACAACAGCTGAGTATATTTAACAAAAATACTTTAACTTTAAACAGCTGTATCTCAAAACTATGAAAATGTCACTTGTACTCCTTGGCTTCTGACCCACTCATATGTTTTTAAATATTTTAGATTTTTTTAAAACTTTAAATGCTATAATTTTTATATTTTTTTTAAAGTTTTCATATTTTTTAAACACATCTGTTTTAAAGTTTGTCAAAGGAATTGCGACAGTGCTATAGAATCTGATAGTTTGATAGTTAATAAGACAGGCTTTTGTAATGCTTGGCAAAAAAAGGTGGTTTTTCTGGAGTTTCTTTCTATTCTATATATAATTCTTACTATTGTACACAAAAATCCCAAATAATTGAAAGAAATGTTGGATAGCAAATATTTATCAAGGTGACACTAGAATTTGGTTTATATTGTAGAAATAAATTGCTAAATATATAAATAAAGCTATATATTTATCACATCAATGCTCTTCCGGTATTGGTAGTGTGCTCACTTCATAATTAAGAAGTTGTTAGTTGGGTCCCCACAATGGTTTCAAAATACTTCAAATTCTTTATGATTAAATTCAAAACATTAATTTAATAACAATATTGGATTGCCAAGTATCAGAAATAAAAATTTTTTTTTACTGTCTACAGTTATGATAAAATCTAGTGTTTAGATAATCCTGTGTGTTATATGCCTTTACAAGTCTGTGTGTATATATATATATATTTGTGCCGGTTAAGTCGACACTTAATATAAAAAACTGCGCTATAAAGGCGACAAAACTGTGTCACCTTTAAATTTTATGATAAAATATTAACTCTTTCCTGCGCATTGCAAATTTTAAAACAATTGCAATCGTGAAACCTAGTTACCATGTTTTAATCTATGTAAGTTAGTTTTATTATATATATTTGGAGGAGAATAAGCACTAAGTTAAATCCGTGTATGAATGTGAATGAAAAAAATTGCAATAAAGGTGACATTTGTGTATATTTGCGTGTATATTGCAAGTTAAAGGCAACAATTTTACTAAGTTTTAGGATTTTAGAGGTCAAACATGTTTAAATTGATGATATAAGATACTACACATGTTATTTTTATATTTTTTATCTTAAATATGTATTAAAAATTGTTTATAAAAAAATTGTTGCTTTAACTTGGTTTTTAAACAATGTCGCCTTTGGCGGTATCTAGCAGTATGTATATATATATATATATATATATATATATATATATATATATATATATATATATATATATATATATGTTTACTTTTTACAGGGGCGTTCTGAAAATTATCCTATATCAGTAGAATCAACATTTGAATATCCAATAAGGTTAAAAAATATAACCATATATCCTCCAGATTTCAGGTTTGAACTGGTGCTTCCAGATTTGTTACCTGAAATATTGCCAAAAGAGAAGACTCATGTTAGTAAATCTTTTATATTTTTCTATTATACTATTTTTACTATTATTTGTTGTTGTTTTTAAATTTAGTTGGCAAATAATAAAATTTCCAAAATTTATGGAAAAGGTTTTGTTTCCTTGTTTGATAATAAGAAATTTTTATATTTTACATTTTTAATGCAACCATAATTGACTATATGTTTTATAACTTTCATATAATTATTTGTTTCGATTCAACACAATGTTAAATCTAAGTATTTAATTATAAGAGAAAATGATATGTAGTATTGTATGTGTTTGTCAACAAATATACTTAGGTCGTTAGAAGTTCGTAGAACTTCATCTATAAAAATGCAAAAAGACAGGAAATAATTAAATACTTATTTATCATCTTAAATTGTGTTTAATTATGAACATTTTAAGTACTTGTTGAAATATTTTGAATGTTTATTAAAAAAGTTATTTAAATTTTATTATATACAATTGAAAGAAAAAATTTAAAGTTGAAAGCCAAAAAACCTGTATAACAAAGCTACTTGAAAATATACCCAAAGAAGAGTATAAAAAAACGTTTCGCAAATGGCTTGAAAGGATTCAATTTTGTATAGATAATGATGGAAATGATTTTGAACATTTAATTAAAAAAATTTAAAAAAAACTCTTCTATTTTTTTTTATAGGGGAGTTCTAAAAACTTTCCTAGCAACCTAAGTACTACTTGAATAACACTAAGTTGTATGTTTAAATATTTTTAAAACAATATTTAAAACAGTTTGGCAAGCTTTTAAGATGGGAAATATTCATGAATATAGAGTTTTTTAAAATTTTTATTTATATCTGAGAGTCATTTTTATACATTTATTTGCAAGTAAGATAAAACTTGTAATGTTTTTTTTTACTTGTTTTTTTTTTTTTTTTTTTTTTAATTTGTTTTTAAATACTTAAATTCGTAATTTTAAATGAAAATTTTAAATCAAATTTTATTTATAAATACTTTAGCTTGGCTGGCTGAAATTTGATCCATTTTATGGCGACATAAAGCAATGTTACACTTGCATATGTGAAATTGATCCTGGTAAATGTCTAAATCTCCAACATCATGAAGTTCATTTCATATATTCTGTAGAATTGTTTACAAATTTTTCAAAAAAATTAAATGTTTTAATATTTTTTGGAATGCCATCTGATAGCAAATAACATCAACATATTCAATCATGTTTAATTTTTTGATAACTAGTGAGATATGACTAAGTTTGTGAGATATAATGACTTTGTGAGAAATATTACTTGTGAGATATAATAAAGTTTTTTTTTGTGTTGATATCATGTGAGGCTTGATATTATTCTTTATTTCATGTGGGGTATGACATCACTGTTTTCATTATTTTCTTTAATTTTTTAGTTGCAAGTGAGAAATTATTTTGCAATGTAATAACATTCACAAAATTGCATTTTAGTATTAAACTAGATTTATTTTTTGTAGCATGTGAGCAATGGCATCATAGTATTCAGTTACCTTCAAATGCATGGGAGATGGACTTCAATTTATTAGAAAAGCTAAGGAGAAAATGGGATAATTTTGAAAGTATGCACAAATCAAGGTAAAAAAATTTTAAGAATTTTGTATTTATACTTAAAGACATTTTGTATCATCATATAATTTTATGCACTAATTTTTTTTCTTATAGCTTTAATACATCAATAGTACTTGATTCCTCAATAGTTAAAAGTTACACTGTGCCGATTCAGGTATCATTGGCATGGCCTTCTTTGGTTGATCAATCAATAAAATTTCCATGTACTCAAGTTGGAAACTATTCTTTTGAAGATATATTAATTACAAATCCATCAAATCATCCTTTAATTGTGCAAGTTATCCCCTTGTTAAATTACCCTCAACCTGATGGAGGCTTGGATCTGCTATCAGACAGATTAATTATGGATTCTTTTTCACTCGATTTAAATGGACAATCAAACTTTTTTATACCAGAAATTAAGGTAACTAGATGTTTAATGATCGCGAATCGCGGTTGCTTTAAACACTTTTGCAATTAGTTTTTTCTTTAAAAAAAAGTTTAGAGATTTTTTTTTTTTTTTCTTAATATAGCAGGTTTTTAGCCGTTCTTTAAAGTATAGAATGTTTTTGTCTAAGTTTTTTATTAAGGGTCATAAAGTACATCACAAAGTATGTCAAGCTAAATTTAACTTTAAATAGATGTATGATCATTTGAACTATTGCGTGGAAATTTTTATTCAACATAAATTGAATTTAAATTACTTTAAATCTCACCATGGAAGCCATTAATATTCTGCTTTTATTTTTAAGTTAAGTTTATTTTGATTTACTTAATGGATAATGGATATCACTGTAAATTTACCCAAAGACTAAATCAAAACAACCAATTTTGTTATTACGGTTAAGTTACTCAACTATTAAATTAACTTAATATACTCAAAGACATGTAAAAGTTAGCCATACAAATATTTCTATTTATATCTTATATGTTGTTAACACATAATATAAGCTTCTAACTAAAATATTTTTAACAAAAAATCTCAAATACGAAATGAAACATGCAATTCCATTTTTTTACATTTTCATTTTATTTAAAGTGATATCAAGATTAGACATTTTCTATAAATATGCAAGTTGTTATTAGGAATTTTCCTAAAAAGAAATTTATTTGAACTTTAGTCTTCTAAAATCCTTTTAATTCAAATAGTTTTGAAATTAAAATTTGAAATTTAAAAAAAAAACCCAGTGATTATTGCAAACATTAAATCAAAAATTAAATTAAAAAAAATTAATTATTCTACTTCTGTATGAAAAAAAATTTACTTTTATCGAAAAAATAATTTAAGCGTATACTTAAAATTGGAATTATAATTCGACTTTTTTTGTCTCGCTTTTTATTGCAAAATAATTTGAACAAAAAAATTTAATGAAGACATCAACCTAAAAACCATTTGAATGAAAATATTATTTATACTTATATTTTTAATAGTTCAAGTAGTTCTAGATAAAGAAGCATGAAGTTATAAAAAATGTGGTATCTAATGTTTTTTTGCTTTGATCTTACTCATTTGGTCCATAGATATAGCATGTTTTTATGCAAACATAAAGTTTGAAGTTTATGACGATGCTCTAATTTATTAATTACTTTAATTTATTTTAAACATGTTTTATGTTATTTATGTTATAAACTGTATAAACAGCAATAAAATAGTGTCATGAACACAATAAAATAACATCATGAACACAATAAAGTAACATCATGAACAGCAATAAAATAACGTCACGAACACAATAAAATAACATAACGAACACAAGATTTTTATTTTAACAAAACAACTTTGCAGTTTTACTGTTGTTTTATAGCTTTTTACAATAACAGTTTAATACTCTTTAAAAATAAAACATATTTTATCATCAGCATGAACCGTTCATGCTGACAGTAAAACACATTGTATTAAATAGTTTTCTATAACTTATTAAGTGGTTTAAATATTTATGTTTTTACTTTTACTTTTTTAAGTATCGAGTTAAGTAAAAACAATTACTAAAAGTAATTTGTAATAATATTAAATAAATTACTTGCTCATTACACTATAACTGCAACTTAAACTTTACATTCTTATGTATTACCAATGGAAAACAAAAATATTAATTACAGCACCACCTAGCATTGAAAAAGATATTATTATTAAAGGTACTTTTGTTAACTAGGAATGCATTTAAAGGTCCTTTTAATAATGCACCAATTTATTATTCTGGAAGCACCAACGTCATTATGCAATTTAATTCACTACTCAATGTCAGAAAGAACACTAAAGTTAAAGGCAACAAAATGCTGTATTTATTTTGGTAATCAAGAATTATCCAGGAATAATCAAGACTATCTTTTTCCGGATATTTCCGGAATTCCTGATATTTTTTTCAACTTTTCGTTTTTCTGGATATCCAAAATCTTTTCCATACATACAAGTTTGGGTATATATTTTTGTAATATATTTGTGTTTTTTTAAAGCATTGTCACTCATCGCTCATACAAAAATTAATAAAAGTTTAAAAAAAAATTAAAAACAACTTAGCTAAAAACTTAATTAAAAGGAAAATAAGGGAAAATATATTCTGGATATTTTTTCAGAATATTTTACCCAAACAATTTTCCGGATTTTTAAAATATGACCTGGATGATCTATGATTATCCCACTATGGTCCTTAACTTTGGAATATACTTACCAAATATTATCCGTGATGAAAAAAACACAACTATAAGAAAAAACAAAAATCTTATTTAATGGTGAATAGTGAACTATTCCACTAGAAAACTCTTGAATGTTAAATTTAAAACTCTTGAATATTAGAATTAAAAATTTTACTAATATAATAATTTGTTGCACAGCTGAGCAAGTGTTTTGCCATTATTCTGGCAAAACACAGTAGGGTCGGGTAAGCCTGTGTATTTATTTTATTATAACTTAGGCTGTAAATTATAAACGGCTATCCATTAGTTATGTCAACAATTTTTTGGCAACTCTTGTCAACAACTTGTTGTTGATCAACCAGAAATCTCCTATACATTTGATTGTTTTGACGAAGTTATTTGCGAGGTTTGCAAGCTGTAAGTTGTAATAATATAATGTACACTATATACCAGACTTTCACAGGAAGGTGTGCGATCGCACATCTTTATATATCCACGCAAAAAATGTTTTAACGATTTGACCTCGACTTTTGATATATTTGAGTTATTCTCTAAGAAAAGTTCACACAGGTAGAAGATCTTGTATATGCTTCTGGAAATAGCAATTTTTTGTTTACTCGAAGAGAATCTGGGTGGCAAAACCAATGCTCCTTTAAAGATATTTAAAGAATTGATGGCATATTGAAAGATGTTTCACGTCTTAAGCCTTCTCAGGAAACATGTGCGGTTTTTCATATCGTTTTTCCATGCATAGTTTTTATAGCATAATTTTCAAAGAAATGTGGGAAAACAGTTTATAAAGGCAACCTAGCAATACTGCTAGGTTGCTTTGTAAATATAAAAAACTTGTGTTAATATAAAACAACCTTGCCATGTTAATTTATAGTTTGTACAGTTTATAACATTAAAAACACAAAACATGTTTAAAATAAAGAGTGTTTTATTCCCAGTGTGTATAAGTTTCAAAAACAAAGCAAAACTAACAAAATAGGAAATTTTAGATAAAAAAAAATTAAATAATTTGTGCACTGTTTTTATTTTTGTTTCTTTAGGGTGGTTGTTATTTTCAGCAACAAAATAGGAGAAGGCAAAGCAAAAAAAAAAAAGTCAACATTAAAAAGATTGATTTTCCTACATTTTTTATTTGTTTTTTCAAAGAGGAAAGAAAAAATATAAATTGCTATCTGTTTGTAAAATATATTTGTAAAATTTTAATGTAATAAGTATATATTGTCCCTATATGAATGCGTCTATGAAATGCATGCCTATATATGCCTATATACACTCATGTTGGTTTCTTCATGTATGCATATATTTACTTCATCAGCTTTACTTTCTGCATCGCTTTTTCGATTATTTAATTATTATAAATCTTTTTTTTTTTTTTTTTTTTTTTTTTTTTGTCAGTAATGCACGTTTGGCTTATTTGCATAAGGTGTTTACTTCATACACAAAATGTCTGTGGTTTTAATCCCATCAATTTGTAATTTTCATTGTCTTTTTTTTAATCCCACTACTCATATATTTGCTTTGTAAACATTTATCATTTCTTTTTTGTATATAAAATTTTTTTCTGTTGTATGTTTTTGAATGATACACATCTTCACATTCAGATTTTATACCATTTAAGCCTCTCAGTGTATTTTCTAAGTAAGGTGCACACATAAATAAATAGTTTTTAAACTTCAAATATGCCATGCTATCTGCCCATTTTTCACATAGCCTTAATTGTTTCATATAACCTTTCTATTCATTTACATTTTTTCACACAGGCTCCTACTATGTGCTCTACTAAAGTAACTAGTTTTTAAGTCCAGTTGCGAATGATAAATTTTAATGTAACAAGTATATGTATTGCAAAAAAAAAGTCTTTTGAAATCTAAATTTAATAACAACCACCCTAAACAAACAAAAATAAAATCAGTACTCAAATTATTTAAATTAATAATTTTTTTAATTTTTTTCTATTCAAATTTATTTCAATTTTTTATTTGTTAGTTTTGCTTACTTTGTTTTTGAAACTTGGTTTTTTTCTGCAAAGTATTGAAACGCTTGAATAAAATAAAACTTGCAAATGACCGTGACCAAGTCACAAAATAACAAAAAGATCAAGTGATGACAATACTGACATCATAAACATAATAATTTATTTTCAATCTTTAGAAACTTTACTATAAAATGGTTTTAATTTTTTAGGATGGAAATCAAGATCATAAAATGATTCATTCTGCATTAGGTGTTTACCCATCTCCAAATAGTTTAACAATGTTGCTTGAGCCAAGGCAAAAAAAATCTTTCAAAGTCGGTTTTATTCCAGTTGATGAAACATTGAAAACTTCAATCTTAGTTGTTCGGTATTTGATTCTATTTAATTAGATTCACATTTTTATAATAATATTTGTATTTATATCTTTTAAAATATAAAGATATATCTATTTATATCTTTTAATTATATAAATCTTTATTTAACTAGAAATAATTTAACAGTTCTTGACTTGGTAATAGTTAGTGGCCAAGGAGCTCAAACATACTTTAGCATTAATGGGCATACACCTGGAGATAAGAATTCTATTTTACATTTTGAGATTAAGCCTGTTCACCTGGAAGACTGTAAAAGTAAGTATATATTTCTTATTTATTTTTTCCAAAAATAACTTAAGCATAAACTCATAAAGTTTGGCTACTAAATTTTTTACATAATTGTAAATCAAAATCAATTTAGACTTATATTTAATTTATATCTGTTTGTAGAGTCAACTCCTAAAGCTCGTCTATATCCTTCATTTACTGTAAAACGATCATTTACAGCTACCAACTATGGCCAGCTTCCTGTTCATATTGCTTATATGAATATTAACAGTTATGAATGCGAAGGTTTTGGGTTTCGTATTCTAAATTGTGAACCTTTTGTTCTTGCTCCAAACTCTTCTCATAAGATTGATATATCGTAAGTTCAAAAAGATTATCACAAAATTTTATTGATTTTTTTTATTTTATTAATAACTAATTTTTAATTATTTTATTTACATATATGTATTTTATATTTAAAAGTTTCTCACCTGATTTTACAACTTCTCGTGTTGCAAGAACATTGAAAATAGTTACTTCAATCGGTCAAACAATGGATTTTGCTCTTCTAGCAACCCTTCCTCATCATTTATTGCCATTATGTGCTGATGCACTTCCTCGTCCATTCTGGGAGCCATATTTGCATGTTGTAGCAACTGTTGTTATGTCTGCAATATTTATTTTTATAATATTTTTTGCATATTTTGATGCTCAAAAGTATGTAGTTCAGTGTACTTTTACTGCTGGTCGTAGTTCTACTTTGGAAAAAAATATTGATCTATATACTCCTGGAAAAGTGTTTGATTTAAATGCCATAGCTGGAGTCAAAGTCAGGTAAAAGTTGTTCTATAAATATTCATTTTTTAAACAATTATTTTATTAAAAAAATTTTTAATATTTTTTTTTTTAGAATAACTGATAAAAAAGATAAATATAATGAAACAAAGCTACATCAGCGAGCTTCCAAATCTAACAGTTGTCCTGTGTCTAAAGTTAATAACCAACCAGTTCTAAAACGCAGTGATTCAATAACATCTATATCATCTTCTTGTACTCGTGAAAATTCTACCCAATTTTCAGACTCTAGTAACTCTTCATCTCGTAAAAATTCAAATGCAAACAGTCCACAGCCTTGTATATTAGAGCTAAAGCCAGATACTAAATTAGAAAGTAAACGCAGTAAAAGAAAAATTGTTGATTTAAATAAAAGCCATACTAAGTGTGAAACTAGTGATTCTATTATTATAACAGAAGAAATAAATAGTTCCTGGGAACAGAATCTAGTTGAAAAAACAGTTGACCAAAAAAAACTAAAAAGTAAGTCTGATAATGAAGATAGTCAAAAGACAAAAAAAAAAATGCAGCATATTAAAAAAGAAACAGTTAAACATTTTCAAAAAGAAGTTGTAATAAACAAATTAGATGAAAATATGTTTGTAGAAAAATCTCCTGGTTTTAAAACTGTTGAAAATAAAGCAAAACCCAAAAAACGAACTGACATAGCAGCAGCACCATATTATACTCCTCCTGGAAATACACTAGATAAACTTGATGAAATATCTCTTTCTGGACCTCGACCTGATGGTAAAGAGAATCAAAAAAAATCTGAAAAATTTATAAAATCTGAACCTCAAAAAGTTTATAAACAACCAGCTGTGTCTCGTAAAAAAACTTCAAATCAATTTGATAGAGACCGATTAATAATGGACACTCCTTCTTCACCACATGCAATTGCAGCAGCTATTGTGGATGCTGCACTTATTAAGTCTCAACCAAAAAAAAAGAACAAAGATAAAGGCAGTGAAGAAGTTAGTTTTTGCAACCATAGCGAATCTAAACTCAATGAAAAAGGTAGATCATCGACATCATCTTTAATACATGGTAAGTATTTCGATTTTTTTCAAAATTTTGTAAAGCAACTTAACTTATACCTTTATGAAAAACTTCCCAGAGTTTTCATAAAGTTTAAATATAATTTATTATATATAAATAAGTTATTTATGTTTTTATAACTAATTTAATTTTTTTTATAGCTAGTTTAATTGACTTATAAAGGTTATTTTTTTATAATTTTTCTATATATACTAATTTACTTGGTCACTGATTTTTATTTATTTACATTCCTATTTGCTTTTTTATACCTTTTTTTGGGCCCCTTAGCAAACTTTACCAATGACTGTTGTTATTCGCCCCCTCTTAGGTTTTGGTAAGATGACATTTACTCTGCGGTACAATCTTGCTTTATTTCAAATTTTTTTTGTTTAAATTTATCATTTTTATTTTACAAATAAATAATATTACACTGTGAAATAAAGTTTTATTGTGTATTACTTTTATGTTACTTTCACTCTGATTAATGCATAATGCATCAACTTGTTTCTCCGCGCAGCGGCCTTGTTTGTCAAGGTTCGTGTTTCGGGGTTATAGAGTTGAGAGAGGGTTATAACCATCTATTAAGTAGCCTCTTCGTCTGTAGTGGCCTTCTCGGCCTTGAGGAGGTGAATAACAACAACAACAACAACAACAACAACAACAAAAAACCTATACTGAATATTGTAAAAAATTTTGTTAATGTTATTTAAAAAAAAATTAATTATTTTAATAAATTATCCTATGTAAAAACTTCCCGCAATAGTTTTACAAGCAAATTAATTCTATTAAGTGATATAGAATTAATAATTTTTGTTTGGTTTTTAAATCCACAAAGCTGTGATTTAAAGAAACTTTTTTGAGGCAACATCTCTTTTTAAGAACAACAAGTGCTGCTTCTAGAACTCTATAATTTAGAGCTTGTTCTTATTGCAACATTAAAACTGTTCTTATTGCAATATTAGGCCTCAATAGCAAGATGCATATTTTTCATTATCCAGTTATAAATTATCACCTCTAATTACATTATTTATTACAAAAAGTTTTTACAGTTGATAATATGATAGTATTATTTAAAGTTTTTAACTAAAAATATAAGAATCTAAAAGTGGGGAACCTAATACATCCTAATAAGCATCTGATGGATGACCAAATGCTTTGGTATTAAGCATCTGATGGATGACCAAATGCTTTGCTATTTCATATATAACATAACTAATTAGGGAAAAATGCAAAAATGTATGAAGGTGCAATAAAAATTAAAATCCTTATTAACACGATGCAAAGTAAATAAATTCAAATAACGGTAGTTTTTTTATTTTCATATAATAACTACCGTTATTTGAATAGTTAAGTTTAATATGAATTTAAAATTTTTTTACTTTAATTTTTACGCAATTATTTATCAAATCGAAAATTTTTTAAATAATCTGTTAAAATGAAATAAGTCTCGCTCAACCTATTTTTTTTAAGGAAGTGGTTTATATGTCTAGCCTAGTTAGATTAGTTTATTATCTGGTTTATTATGATATTGTATTTAATAGAGTGTATGGTTTTGTCGTTCAACCTTGAACGTTAAGTATATAATCGTGCGAAGTTAAAGTTTTTGAAACGTGTTTTTATCAAAACACGTTTATTTTATCTAAATAAAATAAATCTGTTAATATAAAAAAAGTAAAACTTTATTGAAACAAAAATGGTGTTAATTTTAGATTCCTATTTACCCACAAGCTGTAAAAATTCACCCCGTTTTAACGATGATTTTAAACAACCCTTGAATGATTCTTCATCAAACAAGACTAAGAAAAAAGATCAAAGTTGGACGTCTTACTTTAAACGGTTTGGGATCGGTTACAGAGATGAATTATCGCCTGATGAAGTTAGTAAAGGAAATTCAATGTTTTATTACGATAACTTAAGTAGCCTTCGCGCCAGTAAGCAACCAAAATTTGATGGCACTTATCAAAAATTACCAGAAAACAATGAATTACCCATCGCTAGTAATCTCTCGCCTGATAGTGTTGAATTTGTTCCTGCATCACAACGAATAAATAAAGTTGTTGGTTCGAATCTGGCTAAACATACTTCATGGACTTCCGCTGATGATTCTGAAGCATTCCGACCTCCCCCTGGTTTAACCCATCCTAATTCACCCGTTCTTACACACTCTAACAATATTTGGAGTAGTAACGAGTTTTTATCTAGTCCGTGTTTAGTTAATAGTCCACATTGTGCACCGGAAAATGATAGATGGCTTCAGAAAACTTTATGTGATTATCCTCTCGATGGTAGCTATAGTAGTTTGCTTAGTGGCAGTCGTAACCGAAGTAAGGTATGTGATACTTTACCGTTATTCATTTTATTATCTCTACCGTTATTTTCATTTTCTAATCAGTATAAAATTGAGTAAATAAATTTTCAAAAAACTTGATATTTTAGATTTTTATTAAAAACTAATTTTTAATGAACATCTGATTTAAAAAACTTAGTTTGGATTTGATTTATTGGTACAAGAAGATGACCCGGCAATATGGGAAAGCAAAAAGAGTGAATTTTCTACTAACACGGTAAAATATATTTGTTAAATAACTAAAATTAACTTTTAAATTTGTTCAAGTTTTTTAAATATATTTTTTTAATGTAAGGACTTTTGGAGTACAAGTTTAAAAAGATCGTCAATATGGGACGCTCCTGAGCTGCCATTAAATACTTCGCCAAGAAACCGTTTAAGACTTGATCTCAGTTCTATTACAGATGTTGGTAGCCGGAATGCCAATAGCCCAATAAGTCCTTTTAATATTTGGGGTTCGAATGTTGATTCTGCTACTCCTTATGAAGGATGGAATCAAGACATTAAAGAAGATTGATCAGGCATTGCAATAATTTTACCTTATTAATACAACAACGCACATGGCGCCATAATCTGGCGCGAATCAAGATTTTTAGCGAGTTTTTGTATTAAAGTATGCCTATTACTTACATGCGATGTAATCCAAAACTTGAGATTGTTTCCCTAAAATTCTTTCTGTGTTTTTTAAAGTTAAGCCTTCTTCTTGGCTACTTTTTTTCATAAAAATATCAGTTTAAACATGCGAGTTTTGCAGCCTTAAAACCTTTTTTAGACGATTTTTTTTACTTTTAGGTTTGTAGTTTTTTAGATGGCCATATTGGCTGTTCGGTAGTTTTTATGGAAACATTATTTATTTCTTGCTGAAAGTCGTACTCTTTTACGCAAACAAAAACAAAAAATAAAAAAATAGAAGATTTTATTGAAAATATAAATATGACTTTTTATTGTTGCTAAAGTTTTATTTATATATATGTATGTATATATATATATATATATATAAACACCTATTACCTAAAGTGAATACTTTATCAAATTCTTTTATCAAATTTTACTAAAAACTTATATCAAATTTTATAAATCATAACAAGACAGTATTCTTGAGGTTTGCTATAAAATTTTTTATCGACTACATTTGTCACCCAAAGCACTTATGTGGTTTGAAAGGTGAAATATTTTGCATTAAAAAAAAAACTTTATTTTTCAAACAGAAAATCCATTACGGCGAAAAATGTGTCAACTTTGACCGCTGAAAATGATGTTTTTAAAACATCGTAACTTAATAAAACAAAAGCTAAATTGAAAATCCTTTTGCGCATATGTATAATATTATACTCTGATAGAGTTTGCTTAAATCGTTTTACCCTTAGAGTTTTTGTTAAAATACGGCTTTTTTTCAACAAGTGTTACAAATTTGCACTTAAACTGGATTTTCTTAAGATAAATGATTTAGAAAATAAGTCATCTGCTAAGTAAGCAGTAAGATTTGATAAAAATTTACACGTTCTATTTAATTTATTAGATTACAAGATCTTTTTTTTCTGGCTCGCAATACTTTTCTACGCTCTTTCTCTGCATTTGTGAACTTCTTTACCATTCGCTTAATTTATTCTTTTCATCACCCTAATTACAGGTAAAAAATACAAAGATCATAAAACTAATAGGTTTATTCTAAGTTGCAATTCTAATTTAGATTCTTCTCGTAATGCTTTCTTCCATCAAATTTTTGAATATCATTCTCTGTTTTCTGATGTTCCAGAATTTAAAGGACTGTACGGTGGGCCAGAATTTTTTTTCCGTGGCCAAAAGTCCCAAAAAAGTCATGTCTTCTAAACTTTTTTTTATTTTATTATTGAAACATAATATTATTTTATTATTTAAACATAAGTGCTTTACTCTACTCAAAAATGTATCTGTTTAATTACTAGAGATGAAGGTAAGCTTGCTAGAACCATTCATAATGGCTTTAAAATTTTCGAATTTTTGAAAAAATTTTTTTTCAAAAATACTTATCCTCAAAAGTTACGTAACTTTTTTCAATTAAAAAAACTTTGGACTTTTTATTTTAAATAAACATATTAACTTAGTGCTTATAAAAAGTTAATGATTTAGTTATATATTTGTATTTAATTTTTTCATAATTTGTCTTAGAATTGTTGGTATTTTAAAGGGGTTTTTCTAAATTTCCTTATCTTCCTTTTTTTAAATGCCTCTCGAAGATTGTTTGATTTTCTGACTTTTGCATTTACTAAACGGCAGTTATCGTTCAAAAAAAAACCAACTGCGACCATGTATTCTCTAAGATATATTTTTTAGTTCAAAATCGACGACTTTTTTTGCTTTTATAAAAAAACCAATTTAAAGTTAAAGTATTTGTTTAAGGAATATAGTTTGTTTTTTTTATCTTTTGGGCCATCCATAAAGGACGTCATCCAAAAAGGGGGGAGGGGGTCGAGTTAAAAGGACAAGGGGAGGGGGGAGGTTGTCAGAAAAGGACGTCACTTTATAGATTTTTTATTTTAGTTTAATTAACATACGTAAAACATGTGTAAAAACTACGTAAACATGCGTTTTTAAGAAGATAATGTATGAGAATATTTTTAATTTTATTTTTCAAAGGTGTAGCAGCAAATTCAAACATCATTGCGAGATGAAATAAATTTTTTTGGAGTTAAAAATAGGGGGGGGGGTTCAGGATTTTATGATATCCTTTTCAAGGGGGATATAGGGAAAAAGGACAACCGGTGATAAAGGAGGGGGGGTTAAGGGGTCAAAAATTGGCTAAAAATGGTGACGTCCTTTATGGATGCCCCCTTTCTTTTTTCTGTCTTATAACATAAGAATTTTACAACTTCGTGCTTCATAAAAAAAAAGTAAGTAAAAACAGATAGGGGCTCAAAGAAGATGAGGATAACAGTACATCATCGCAATCTTTTCATAGAGCCCCTTTAACAAAATTTCAATAAAACAATGTGTTACGTAATACGTAATAAAATTTCATAAAACATTTCGTAAAATATATACGTAATAAAATTTCAAATAAATATCGTAATAAATATCGTAATAAAATGCGTAATTCGCTAATAAGGTTGTTAAACAACAATAAGGTTGTTAAACAACAACAACAACAAAAAGTAGAGTGGTAACATTAACCAAAAAAGTTTCTTAAATTTTAAAAATTTCTTTTTTTAATTTTCATGTATCATTACAATTACAATATTTCTCCAATAAGCTTCAACAACAAGTTTGAATTATATAAAAATAAAAGCTATAATTTTAGAGCAAATATGTTAAACACATATAAACTGTCTCGGATAATAAATAATTATTCAGAATATAGCATTTCATGCTGAGGTCCTAAAGTATGGAATACTTTTCCAAAATGATTTAAAAGTAAGGTAAATTTGTTAAGTTCATTCAAGTTTATAACAAAAAAAAAAAATTTTAAAACTTGAGAAACGTTTTTGGTTAATTTCTCTACTTTTGTTTGTTATTAGTGAATTACGCATTTTATTACGATATTTATTACGATATTTAATTGAAATTTAATTCCGTTTATATTTTACAAAATTTTATTACTTATTACATATTCAAGGCCGGCGCAATAGGGGGTGCGGGAGAAAAGGGGTGTGACACCCCCTCATCAATGATTTTTAGTCGGCAAATTGGACTTTTAGTCGGCAAATTGGATCCTTTTAGACTAGTTAGTCGGCAAATGTCGACCCTTTTGATATAGGTTAGTTGGTAATAAAGACAGTCGGCAAATATCGTCATGGCAGTCGACCAACTTTCGAAAACGAGGACCTTTTTTTTTTTTTTTTCTAGTCAGCAAAAGTTGTAACGGCACCCCCCCTCCCCCACGTGACACCTACTCGCGCTGGTGTCACGTTAAATAAGTAGATCGTTAAATAAGTAGACAAATTTAACAATCAAGGCATTATTTGATAACCCAGACGAATAAATTAAAAAAAAACATACGTTAATCGAGCTAAAAGCATTTATTTAGTCGTGCAAATTGTTACTATTTTATGGCATTTTTAGAGTGATAATTTACCACTTTTAATAATATTTAACTCACGACATATATTCTAGTCGTATTTTATACCTTAATAGTATAGTATGACAAGTAACATATTTTTAAGAAAGAGGTTTTTTTTAGGTCATTAATGATATCAAATAAAATAGTCATCTCACAAGGAAGTTTATTATATTCCTAAATAATTTAACTGTGCATTTTAGCAAAATGTTTCACGTTAAATAATTTATCTTTATCCCTTAAGCCTATCAATTTTAAAATTTGTAATTGCTACCTGATTCTACGCAGATAAATAGTAACAAAAGTATTCTGATGTTATCACAGAAAAAAGAAGAGAATTTATTAATTTGTGTCAAGACTTTTTTTGTGTGTTAATTTACCTTCTCAAGGATGAAAAAGCCACTCCAGTCGTGTAGGCTGCTTTAGTTCTGGTTACAACCCTCTCACAACTCTTTAACTCCGAAACACAAACCATGATGAACAAGACCGCCACGCGGAGAAACAAGTTGAACGCGGTAGTACCAGGGACGTGGTGGTGATCAAATTCAGAACTTCTCGATTATGAGGCGAGCGCTCTACCACTACACCACTACTGTACTACCGTTGAATAACAACCTAGACAGGTATTATTCGACGATTTTAGCGGTGTATGTATACCACAATAATAATAAAATGTTACCTAAACTTAGTTTACTATTTCTTACTATGTGAATGTTTTAAATAAAAACGACATTAAAGAAACGACACACATGCTACACTAAAACTTTATTTTGAAAATAAGGTCAAAATATCCTTACACAATATAAATAGCAAAATAAAATAACATGGTTTTTAAGTTCTTTTAAAAAATATCAACTTGGTTGAAACTTGGGCATTTTTGGGAGAAATTTGATTTTTCCACATGGAATTACAAGCCTATATAGTATAGAAATATATTAAAATATAAATAGTATCATAAAATCGCAACGAATAAAAAAAATAAATAATAAAAGTACCTGCGTTTGCACCAGAAGAGTACTTAATAAATGCATTGATCAATATATGTCAATAAATTGATTTATAAAATGAACTCTAAATGTGTGCCAGAAGGATTTGAATTAATAAATCATTTAAATATTAAAAATGTTAAAACAGCCACGGTATCAACATGCCAGAATAGTCTAAATTTTTATAATATTCTATAAAAAAATTGATCAAATATCTCATTATAATTAAAAATTACATAGCCATATTTTTAATTACTACTTTTGGTGTAGTTGTAATAGTAGCGATAGTTAACTGCAACTGCAACAAATGTATGTAAATAAAGAACTGTCTTTAATAACTGTACCTATTAACAATATCTTATATCAATAACCGTTGTTGATAAAATGAATAACTGATGACAGTAAGAAAAAAAAACTACAAAGTGAGCAAAATAAATAATCATGCCAGTAACAAAACAAAGAACAAGTACTAGTTGACCTAAATTAGCCAATTGTATAACATACACATCTATAAGACACTTAAAAAAATAAAATAAGTAATGAACTTTTTAAATATTAACTAAAACATACATAAATACCAACAATAAAAAAAACAACATGAACAATAACAAACATAAAAAAACCAACAATAAAATAAAAAAAATGTATTTACATATAATAATTGAATTTAAATATTCAAATAAGTCACAAAAACAAAAACAGCAATATTAATAGGATACATTCACAACAATGATAGTACTAAAGGCACACCTTTTATGAAAGTATAACATAGTAACAAAAGGTAACATCTCTAATGTTCCATTCTCAATACATTTCAGGTAATGTTAGCTCATTTCATTACCTTTTTATATAATCAAACTTAGGTTGATACTGCTACACAAATATACTGTCGCACTATCATACCGTTGCATTTCCTTTTAAGAAAAGATCACAATCATTTTCAAGTACAACTCTATGCACTAACAATGGCGCATCATCTTTACTTGAACTATTAATAAGTGAATCATAAAATTGAACACACTTTCAATGTGAAACAACATCAGGAGACATTACTTATAAACCCCCAATATAACTTTCTGAAAAACCACTTGAATTAAAACAAGTAAAAATGCAAAAAAACTCAGATATTTTAAACTTGGAAATCTAAATATTTTAGAAAACTGATATAAAAACAAACTTTGTGCTACATCAATCAAGGTGTCATCTGGCCAGCCAGATGAGTCTCTTAAAATCTCTAAGGCCTTGTCTTTAGACTGTATTGAAAAACTTTAAAGAAAACTTTGAAAAAAATTTGAACTTCGACAGTCCATTTTTCAATGATACTATCATTAACAAATAGCTTTTTTCAAAGCACTTTGTTAATTTCAAAGCAATTTGTTAAGTGTTAATACCATTACCAGTTTAAACTCTAAACTTTTTTCTCATTGATTGGGTTGATGAAAATAAGCAGACTATATCAAATAATCTAAAATTTTAGAATTTTTTGAAGAGTATCGAAAATCTATAAAATAAAGTAGTTACATAAATTGTTAGTCAGTATATTTACTTTAACAATCAGTAATTTTAATAAAACATTTTTTTCCAAGTTTTTTTAAAGCAAGAGGTCCAACAAAGTCTAGGGGAAGTTTGTGTAAAAATAACGAAACTGATACAATCATATCTCTATACTAATTACTTTGTATAAGTATACTGACTTATACTAATAAAATTCTATCAAGTAGAAGGGTTTAAAAAGTACTGGCTATACAACAATAAGCTTTTTTTGGACTGAACCAAGGGTCACTTTATGAAAATTAGGTTCAAATCCATAATAAATGTACAGTTAATTTAATCTTAGACTGTTTTTAATAAATATTTTTATTAATACTTAATTGCAACACTTAAATATACAACAAAATTAACTAATAGTTTTAGGCAAAATTGACAAATAAGTCAATGCATAAAATGGAAGTCCCAAAACAACTGTAGGTTTTGAGATGCTGAGACATAGTACAAAATTAACTTCAGAAACATACAATAATATAAAATACGTAATTTATAATATTGTATGTTTCTGAAGTTAATTTTGTACTATGTCTCAGCATCTCAAAACCTACAGTTGTTTTGGGATTTTTATTGTGTATATACACAATAATAATAAACTCTTAAACACAAATTATATAAAAGTTTAACTTTTATATACACATACCACAAAGTTGACATTTTTTATTATAATAATTTATTATTCCACCAGCGACATACTGCTAAACATCTTCAACTGAGTAATTATAGACTGGCAATTTAATTATATAGTTTTAAAAAAATCAAAAATTTTATCATTTTTGTTTACATCTAGCTACTTATTTACATATAGTGTATACCTAGCGTAAACAAGGCTACTTATTTTAACCTACCTAACGGAAGCTTTAAACCATATTTGCGCATGCGTTACGCTTACGGTCTACTTATTAAACGATCTACTTATTCAACGCGACACCGGCCCTGTACATATTACGATATTTTATTGATATTTTGTTAAAGGGGCTCTATGAAAAGATGGCAATGACGTACTTTCATCCTCATCTTCTTTAAGCTCCTATCTGTTTTACTTACTTTTTATGAAGTACGAACTTGTGAAATTTTTATGTTATATTAAAATAATAATAAAATACATTCAAATCACTCCGGCTTCTGCTGCCAAAGTCATATCTCAACTAAACTCGTCTACAGCTTGTGGTCCAGACAACATTCCTGTCACAGTCTTGCAGAATTTTTCTCCAGAACTTTCTTCAATTCTCTCTAAACTATTTAACAAGTGTTTGACTGAGTCTTGTTTTCCTGCTTGTTGGAAAGTGGCATATGTGGTTCCAATATTCAAAAACTCTGGAGAAAATTCTGACCCCTCCAATTATCGTCCGATCAGTCTTCTTTCTGTTATTAGCAAGGTCTTTGAGTCTTTGATCAACAAATTCCTCACAACTCATCTTTAGTCAAATAAACTACTGTCAGAAAATCAATACGGTTTTCGATCCTCTCGCTCTATGGCCGACTTGCTAACTGCTGTAACTGAAAGATTTTATCGTGCATTAGATGGAGGCGGTGAGGCTAGGGTTATTGCTCTTGACATATCTAAAGCTTTCGACAAAGTTTGGCATGCTGGTCTTCTCCATAAGCTTGATTCATATGGTGTTTCTGGAAAAGTTTTTGAGATTATCAAGTCATTTCTTTCTAACCGGTTTATTAAAGTCATCCTTGAAGGCCAACACTCTTCTTTATTTCCAGTAACTTCTGTGGTTCTCCAAGATTCCATCCTGGGCCCTGTTTTGTTTCTTATCTACATAAACAATCTTCCTGACAACCTTTCATCTAAAGTAGCTCTTTTTGCTGATGACTCAACTTTATACTACTGTCTTGACAAAAAGTCTTCTCTTTTCGATCGCCTAGAACAAGCAGCTGATCTTGAATCCGATCTCACTTCAGTAATAGATTGGAGTTCACAGTGGCTTGTGAATTTCAACTCTAACAAAACCCAGTTGTTTACTACAAACAACTACCGTAATATGGCCAACATCCCTATATTAATGAATGGCAATCCTCTTACTGAGTCCTCCTCTTTACATCTTCTTGGATTATCGCTTACTACTGACCTTTCATGGAAACCATATATACAATCGATTGCTAAATTAGCTTCTGCTAAGGTTGCTTCTCTTTATCGTGCTCGCCATTTCCTTACTTCTGATTCCATTCTCTACCTCTACAAATCTCTTATTTGTCCCTGTATGGAATACTGTTGTCATATTTGGGCTGGTTCTTCTAACGATTCACTTTATCTTCTTTGCAAGGTCCAAAAACGCATTGTAAATGTTGTTGGACCTGGACTATCTGCTAAGCTTGAACCTCTTTCCCATCGTCGTAAAGTTGCATCTCTTTCTCTTTTCTACAAATACTATCATGGTCATTGCTCAAAGGAGTTATCATCATGCTTGCAGCCTTGTTGGGAGTGAATGCAAATAAAAAAAAAAAAAAACAGAAGAAAAAAAAATGTATAAAAGTAAATTGAATAAGTATATTTAGTTTAAAATAAACCAAACTTCTTACTTTACTATTATTAAATAAAATGTTTACTTAAAATTAGTACTTGTACTATATGTAAATATTCCATAAAATATAAAAGCTATTTCAGAATGCATTTTGATTTGAGCACTACACCTTTTCAAAATGTAATTGAGAAAACAAAAATTGTAATTAAGAATCGTAAGATGTAATTGAGAAAACAAAAGTTGTAATTAAGAAACGTAAGATGTAATTGAGAAAACGTAAGTTGTAATTAAGAAACATAAGATGTAATTTAGAAAACGAAATTGTAATTAAGAATCGTAACATGTAATTGAGAAAATGTAAGTTGTAATTAAGAAATAGAAAGATGTAATTGAGAACACGAAAATTTTAATTTAGATATCGCTTTAAAGGAGTAAGTGTAAAATGGCGCGTAAAAAAATGGAGCGTATAAAATGACGCACTTAAAAATGACGCAAGATTTGTAGCGTAAAATTAATTTTTTAGGGAAAAATTTAGGGAAAAATTTATAATTTTTGGGCAAATGAATTTAACATAATAAACACTAAAAACATTTTAGGGAAAAATTTATAATTCAATTAAAAATTATAATTAAAAATTATATAATTAAAAATCACTTCATTGATCATTTAAGCACCAACTTGTACGTCTTCCATATTTAAAATAGTTGCATAGTGCGTGGTTGTGTGTTGTACCGCACGTGCACAATCTCCTCCCATTATAGTATTTTTCGCCTCAATTACAATTCGTTCTAAGTACTGCATGCGCTGTTCCGCAATCCCGTCACCTAATACAGGTGGAATGCGAATTGCATTTTTAACGTTACTTTTAATTTTGGACCAGATTGTTTCCACCGGGTTCAACATTGGACTGTAAGGTCCCAAACGTAACAACTGAGCTGGTGAATTATCAAACACCCTTTGCAAACGAGCGTGACAAGGAGCATTATCTGTTACGACGACCAAATCCTCCAAACGATTCCCGGATGTAACCCACTGGTGAAACATAGCCAACATCCACTCGTTACAGGAATCTGCTTTAAATGATCCCCTGCGAGTTTCTATCATGACGACATTTGTAGTTGAAATAGCTGCGTCAAGTGTATGTTTAAACCTTTTGAAGCAGGTACTTTCATAATTGCTCTTTTTCCTTGTCTCGCGCGTCCTTGCGTTTTTCTACAAAAAAGGTTAAAATTTGTTTCATCCAACCAAACTATCTGACAACCATTTGTGATATGTTCGTTGATGTTTCTAACATATTCAGCTCTTTTTTGTTTGTTTTCATAACTGTTCATTGTAGAAGGCTCCTTGTGCATTTTTTTTAATGAGAACAATCTGCCTTCGAGGTAATTTGCTGTTGTTGTTGTGCTAACGTTTATGTTAAACTGTCTTAATATCTTTGTTTTGATGGCCACCAATGTTAATTGACAATCATTTTCAATCCATGTTAATGATTTGATCTTCGGTCAACTTTTTCGGTTTAAAACCTCCTTTTCCGATGAAATTTGAATTTCCGCTGCGAATTTGATCTTCGGTCAACTTTTTCGGTTTAAAACCTCCTTTTCTGATGAAATTTGAATTTCCGCTGCAAACCCAATTGTATGCTGTCTTATATTTGATACCTAGCGTTTGCGCGAGATTCACCCAATCTTCAAATCGCTCCGCACATTCAACAACTCTTCTCCTGTCATTTGGAGAAGATAAAACGTAACGTTTTCTTTCAACTTGTTCAGTTGTGTGTATTTCATGCCGACAAATCGGACAACTTGAATCTGGTTATTCCAGAACTGGACGTAAACAAATTTGGTGACATAAATGTTGACAAGGATTTAGCTTAATCACAGACTTTCGGGTCATAGTGTATTGGCATATAACACAACGATCTTTCAATTCCATTATCATTACTTGTGCATACAAAAGCAAAATTTAAGATTATAACTTAAATTCATGTCCAAAAAGACCTTTTGTAACGACCTACAAACTTAGACTTTGAATTTGCTATTTTAATTTATGTGTTCTCAATTACAAGTTACGATTTCTCAATTACATATTATGATTTCTCAATTATATCTTACGTTTTCTCAATTACATGTTGTGTTTCTTAACTACATGTTACGACTTCTTATTTACATGTTGTGTTTCTCAATTACATATAACGTTTTCTCAATTACATGTTGTGTTTCTTAATTACATATTACGATTTCTTAATTACAACTTTCATGTTTTCATTTACATCTTGAAAAGGTGTAGTTTGAACAACCGGAAGTTGTACTAACTTTACCTGAAACCTTTTTTTATTTTTTGGACGTAAATGGACAACGATAATAATAATTTGCGAAAAACAAAAACACAACGTGCTTTTATAATATTTGCTTACTATGATTGTATTTGCGACATGCTTTATTATCATATTTAGTGATTTTAATCTAATGTTAATACTATCATGGTTTTATAATACTACCATAGTTGAGTTATTTCTTGTTTAGCCTATCTATATATATTCTTGTATAAATTGGCATTTAGTTTAGTTTTTTTATACATATGGTTATGTAAGCACTTCACAATTTGCTTTTCTTTTCATGTTTTTTTGATTCATATAATTTGATAGGTTATCGTTTCTACTAACATACTTATAAATGTAGGAGGTTTTTAGGAGTAAATTTTTATATTTATAAAAGTTATATTATTAAGTAAAATATTAGGGAATATAATAGAAATATAAATGTTTCAAAAGTTGTGTACTTATCGTACTTTCAAAAAAAAAAATGCAATAATATTTTGATGTTTAACCTTTCTTGAGTTCTTTTTAATCCAAGAAGAAATACTTTATTCATTTATAGGATAAATACTTTATTCATTTATTGTCAAGATTTAGGCAGCCTCGGCCATAAACCTGTCTCTGGCTATAGTTTATCAAACCTAGCCCTGTCTCTGGACAATTATCTTGACAATTCCTATAAATGAAATAAATATTTCTTCTTGGATTAAAAATTAAAATATGTTTATATATATATATATATATATATATATATATATATATATATATATATATATATATATATATATATATATATATATATATATATATATATATATATATATATATATATATATATATATATATATATATATATATGTATGTATATATATATATATATATATATATATATATATATATATATATATATATATATATATATATATATATATATATAAACATATTTTAATTTTTAATCCAAGAAGAAATATTTATTTCATTTATAGGAATTGTCAAGATTTAGGCAGCCTCGGCTATAAACCTGTCTCTGGCTATAGTTTATCAAACCTAGCCCCGGCTCTGGACAAATGCCTTGTTTGCTTACCTTTTGAAAGACTAAGAAGTATTACTGTTTTCCTTTTTAAAATTAAATTACAATAGTAACAATAGGATGCATGTAGTAAAACCCCAAAATAAAACCGCAAAAAACTATGCATTTTGCCAAATCCATGTTAAAAAAAGTTTTTTTATGAAGAGTTAGTACAACAAATTTTAGCAAATGTCTCATAACTTAATTTGTTTCTGAATAAATACAAAATGTAATCAGAAAGCTTACGAATTATTTTGAAGATGTCGTAAATAACTCATATCATGACTTTTTGAACAAGGTGATTTTTGAAATAAAGTCTTCAATTGTTGTTAGACAAATCTTACATTTTAGATGTCCTACTATTGTATTGTACAACAACTTTATTAAACATAAAATAAACTGTTAATTAAAGATATCAAAGTTGATAGAACAGATTTAAACTACAAAACTTACATTTAAAACATCTCCCACATGCTTTGCAAGCTAGATTTAGTTTCTTGCATTGGTTTAATTATTTGTTCAATGTTGTTGCAAATATCAGATACAACTCTTCTCTAAATGGAGAAAATCTGTAGAACTTGATATTTAGATTTTGACGATTGTTTGTTTTTTGGAAGTGGATTGAATTCAAGTATGGTGTTTGAGCTAACTAAGGTATAAATATTGTACACAAATATACTCATATATATATACATATATATATATATATATATATATATATATATATATATATATATATATATATATATATATATATATATATATATATATATACTGTATATATATATACTGTATATATATATATATATATATATATATATATATATATATATATATATATATATATATATATATATATATATATATATATATATATATATATATATATATATATATATATATATATATATATATATATATATATACAGTATAGTATATATATATATACAATATAGTATATATATATATATATATATATATATATATATATATATATATACACACAATATTGTACTCCAGTAAAATTAAGTAAGTAAGCGATGGTGAAGACAGCTTAGCTAGGAGAAAAAAAATTATGATATAAAACCCTCAATTTATTTGTGGACAAGGATAGGAAAATTTGGATAGTAGTGGTATCACAATGTAAGTACTCGGTTCTGATCAGCAAAACTGGTTAACATCAGAAAGGGCATCTGGTTGTAAAAAACTACTTCTATTATGTTGTATAAATGAGAAAATGACATTAACTCATTGCTAGATAAATTAGCACCTATTAGTTATCCTAACATGTTTGTTTAATTCCTTCTTAAAATAAAGATTATGGTCTTTTTTATTATGTATATTGCTAGAAAGTTCTTAGTTGATTTCTTATGAGTAGGGAACTCTTTGCTTGGCACTAGCAAAATGTTCTTATAATATAGGGTTTTTTTTTGTATCAAGACCATCTTATTTATCAATTATTTAAATTTTATTTTTTAAAAGATTTATATTAAATTTATTTAACAACAAAGTATTTACAGTGGGTATTCTTGAAATGGAATAGGTGCACCACTCCAATCATTTTCATCTCATTGATATAATCAATTTCAATTAAAAATCAATCTTATTAACTCTGTGAAACTGAGTTTTCTTAACATCTTTTAATTTTCTTTTTTTAGTTAGTGCTATTTCTATTATTTCAGTTAATTCTATATAATAATGCTTATATAAAATCAAGTGAAATAATGCAATATTACTGTAGTTAAAATATAATATAACTGGAATAATGCAATATTAATATAATTGTTTTTTTTTATTGTTTATATTTTTGTTGGCATTGTTTTATCATTATTATTACTAATATTGATAATATTGTTGTTATTTTATTATTGTTAATATTGTTATGTTGTATAACTTAAATATTTACTTTATATAAGTACTTTTACATTTTGTCCTTGAAGTTTATCAGCTTGTTTCAGAATAGTTTTATTAATTCAGATTTAAGGAGAAATACAGTGCGTTTAATATAAGAAGAAATACAGTGCTTTTAGTAATTTTTGCTATAGTTTTGTTACAGTAAAGATTCACTGAATGTTTAATAGTTTAAATTTAAATTTAATTTTATAACCAAGCCATGTAAACTTCTAGAAAGTTATTTTAATTATTGTTATTATTATTATTTTTTTTTTTTGCAGATGTCAGCAACAGAAAATAAAAAGTATGATTTATGGCTTGGCAGTGACCTTGGCTTGCTGAAAGGTAAAATGTTGTTTCCAAAATTGAATTTCAATTTTAAAATTCAAATGTTTTAAAATTTAAAATTTTTTGATCAGACCTGTAGTTCTAAATGTTTCTCAATTTCTCAGGATTAATTTTAAAGTATATTGATAATAAAAGGATGTTGTACTATGTTACTGCTCAGCTGTACCATTTTTTGAATGATAGATTTATTACAGAATTCAACACTAGATCTTATTAAGCAGCAAAGTATAATCTTTTTTAAAAATAGCTTGAACAAATGTACAAAAAATAACTATCCTTAAAAATGATAATGAACAAGCAAAAGACAATGCAGTCTCTAAGTTGCTATCTCATACTTAAGCATTAAGTTTGTTTTTATGACTAAGCAACTCATTCTATTATCTTCTAATGAGGGTACAGCTCTAAAACTCAGTTTTATGGTTCTGAGGCTGGCTGGTAGTCAGGTTTCCCAAACTCTGTGGTAGCTCTCAGAGAGGCTGATTCCATCAACAGCTGTAAAATATTAGAGAACTAACAGTGCCATGTTGCACATCGATGGTGTCCCTGTTTGTACTTTTGGTGTGCATTGTCGAGGCCGCATTTAAAGCCTTTTGTTACAACTTGATTGGTTGATCAGAACTGAGTACTTTCATTGTGATACCACTACTATCCAAAATTTCATATCCTTATCCACAAATAAATTGAGGGTTTATAGGTAAGAGGCAATTGCTTGGACTATTAAGTAGTGTACTGAGTACTATCTGTGCTTTGAGTCAAGTTCTTTAACAAAATTAAAAATGACTTAAGTACCAATAACTAAAACACAAGCAGGGCTCCCAGCTGCGATGAGGCCCAAAGTTATTATGGGCCCAAAGTGACCAAAAAAAATTTAAAAGTTTAAATTTAAAATAATAATATAGATATCAACATTTAACACTTTGTACTATTATTATGAAGTTAATAATCTTGATTAGTTCTTTAAATAGTGAGCAACTTTTTATTTAATAATATCTGCAAGTATTAAAATAAACGACATATAAAATATTATAAAATATTATACAATTTTCAAAGTCGTAATTATGAAGTGGTAACAATTTAACGCAAAGTACGACAATACACCTATCCCATAAATCGTACACACAAAATGTATTGTGGTAGCTGTATTTATCTAAATCAAAACAAATGTCGGAAAGGCGGCATTGTTTCAGTTGTCTACCCCTATCATTTTATAGATTATGATAGAAAATTTTATGCTCATTAAGAATCATATAAAAACATAGACCTGAAAATTTGAGGACAGTACTCTAAATTGATGTGGAAAAAAAAAATTATACAAAAAACGCTAATAAATACAGCACCTTTTTAAAAACGTCTTTCAATCGGTTTGTATTTAGAAATCAATCCTTTAGAAAAGCTTTTAATAGTTTTGCTTTAAAGTGTTAATAAAAACCAGGCTGTTTTTAAGTTAACTAAGAAAAAGATACTAATTATATTAAAATACGAAGAAATGGTCATTATTAGCGTTTTTAGTGTAGTTTTTTAAACTTCAACATCAAATTAGAGTACTTTTTTTATTTATTTTCAGATCATTGTTTTTATAGGTTCCTTAATTGGCATGAAATTCTCTATCAAAATCAATCATAAAATGATAGGGGTAGGCAACTGAAACTGTGCTGGAAAGCTTATTAAATAGTAATAATAAAGTTGAACTTTGTGAAGTTAAACTTAGTAAAAATAGTAAAGTTGAACTTTTTAAAAGTAGTAAAGATGAAATTTGTAAAAACAGTAAAGTTAAATTAAATCTTAACATATACTTGCTGTGTACCAAATTGTTTTAATAACTCTGAGAGTAATAAAAACATATCTTTTTATGCAATGCCCAAGAAAAAAGCTTTAAGAAAGTTATGATCGGACAAAATTAGCAGAAAAAACTATAAACGTCGTCACTATGGTGTCCCAAAAAACAACATTTTTGAAAATAATCTGCTCTCACCCCCTAAATGTGTTCTATCTAATGCTATATCGAATATTTAATGGGTCCCTAATATTTTTGAAAAAAAAGTTTTTCAAAAATATGTAAACCTGGTACTCAAATGAAGCGAAATTATATAAAAATTTTAAAAATAATATTCATTTCAAAACAAAATTGTTATTTTTTGTTTTATTACATAAAAAATTGTGTTTTTTAAGAAAAAATGAAAAAAATGCATTTCTAATGTTTTTTTATGATATTTTTGATAAATAAGTTAAAAATATTTCGAAATGAATATTATTTTTGAAATATTTATATAATTTTGCTTCATTTGAGTACCAGGTTTACATATTTTTGAAAAACTTTTTTTTCGAAAATATTAGGGACCCATTAAATATTTGAGGGTCTTGAGGGACCCCTTAAAATATTTTCTATTCAAAAAAAATTTAAACCTAGTGTTTTTGTATTAAATGGAACACATTTAGGGGGTGAGAGCAGATTATTTTCAAAAATGTTGTTTTTTGGGACACCCTAGTTGTCACACAAGGTTTGTTCAGCACATTTTCCAGGTAAAAAAAAAACTTATATGAATAATGTGCCAACAATTGTTTTAAAAACTGTTAAACTGACTACCCTTTTACCAAAGAAAACCCAAAATAGTCTTGGTGTGAAACCAAAAACAATACTAGAAGCTTATAGAGAAGAACTGCTAACTCCTGTTTTGAGCAAAGTTTAAACAAAAAGTAAAATTTCTAAAGCTCAAATTGAGAATATTAAAAAATAAAAACGCCAGTTAAAATAAATGCAAAAAGAAAAACAGTATGCAAACTTAACAAAAAAAAATACTTCAACTACAATTTATAGTTAAAACAAGAGGAAGAGTACATACAAATTTTTAATGGTGCTAATTCGACTGTGATGCACTTTTCCTATAGAGGATTTAGCAATACAGTTTAATATCTCATCAAGTACTGCCAGTAGGATATTAATTACTTGGTATGATTTTTTGTATATAAAATTTAGATCAATTATGCTGACAAAAAAAAAATTTTTTTTACAGCGATGACAACTATCACTGTCAATCAAGAATGTTCTCAAACTATAAACATCACACAGTAAAGGGTCTCATTGGTATTGCACCAAGTGGTGCCATAACATTTGTTTCAGGTTTGTATGCAGGAAGATCAAGTGATAAACAGATAACAAAATAACGTGGCATAGTAAAATTATTAAAAAAATTTGATAATTTGATGGCAGATTGTGGTTTTAATTTAGCAAATGAGTTACCTAAAGGTGTAACTCTTAACATACCACCATTTCTCGAAGGTGATTTGCGTTTCACATTAGAATAAGAATTAGAAACAAAATATTTGCATCTGTACAAATTCATGTCGAACGTGATATTGCAAAAGTTAAAAACTACAAAATCTTACAAAAAACATTTTCACTTTCGATGGCTCCTGACATGAACAAACCATGGGTCATTATTTGTTATTTAGTTAACTTTCTACCCTCTCTAATTAAAACTGATAATGTTGATGAGACAGAATAAAAAATAACTTATATGTATTTTGTAAATGATTGTTTTTTAAATATTTCTGTTGACATAAAATTGAAATAAAAATCTGTTAAATTAGGAAAAATAACTGTATTCCATAAATCTGTATTATAATCTATTGTTTCGATGTGCAATGATTTTTCTCTATAGACAATAAAATTGATTGTTTTGGTTTCTGTTAGTGCCATAACACCTTGACTTTTAATTTTGGAATACCATTGCTAACTTTTATATAAAAGTTTTTATCCTGATATGCTTCTTCAATTGTTAAATGTTTTTTTACTTCAAGTTTTACTTCATTTTACTTCAAGTACTTTTCAGGACTCACTACTCTATCAGGGCTTCAACCTAACCATGGACATTTAGGGTTTATAAAAAAACCACATTGTGTAACACTTGTTTTCATATTGTTTTATAGCTTTTTCTTCATTTTCTGTTCCCCATATACAGTTTTCTCCTACTTTTATATTTTTAGGTTGAATAGCTTTTTTAAAAATTGATATTGGGTAAATTTTTTTATACCTATTCATCACACTACCAAAATTTAACGTTGTTAATCGTTTGCTTCTTTCTTGATACCATAATTTGCTTTTAAATTGCTTAACTGTATTGACTTCAATATTTTTAGTTTTTTCAATGTCAACTCTTAAATATAAATCTTCAAATGCTTTTTGTTCAGAAGACAAACAAGAAAGATCTTATTTTCAAAATTATTGAATAGAGTATTAATAACAAGTTTGTCTTTTTTTTTACAAAAAGGTTCTGCAATATCCTTTTCTATAAATGTTGACAGAGACGAATTAGAAAATGTATATGTTTCAAAATTGTTATGACAAATTATTTCAGAAATGTATGTCCTCTGACAGAGATATTCTAAACCTTTACGAAGTGCTTAAAGTTAAAAAGATGAAGCTTCATAAGAATTTGGTAATGAACAATATTTATGTGTTTCTGAAACTAAAGGTCTTTTTCGTGTATTATTTTTGTTTTTATAAGCACAAATTTTTTTCAAAGTTTAAGTTTGAAAATAAAATTACTTCAGAGTTGGTTGATTCACCTGGAATATGCCATATCTGTAAAACACCTTTAAAAGAACTCATCACTAAAAGAAGCATTAAAAGAACTCATCACTATAATATTATCAACTTCAAAATTTTTTTTGCGCAGATTGTTTAGATTTATATGAATACAACTACCACAATGTATTGCACATTTGGGTGACAGGAATAATATCAAAAAATGAATTTCGGAATAGTGTTGAATATATTAAAAAGGCCTAATGTCGCAAATGAAGGAATAGTGTTGCAAATAGTAAAAGTAATAATATTGCAAATAGTAAAATCGGAGTAGTGTCGAAAATGAAAAAAGGAATAGTGTTGCAAATAATAAAAGGAATAGTGTTGCAAATAGTAAAATCAGAATAGTGTTGAAAACATAAAAAAGGAATAGTGTCATAATAGTAAAAATGGAACCTTAGATTCATTTGTG